TTCTTCTGACTGCTCTTTTCCTTGCGTCTTCTCTAGCTTCCATAACAATATTTGTGGATGCTATGTCTTTTTCCAGTTGTTTGCTTTCTTTGCTGAGTTTTGATAGCTTCGTTTCTAGTGCTGCGAGTGCTTTCTTCGTATTTGCCGCTTCGGACTGGCTGGTCTCGGCGCTTTCTTCTTTTTGTTTCTTGAGATCGGTTAGGACTGCTAGGAGGTCGCACTTGAATTTCCCCATGTCGGCTAGTTCGCTCTCCTGCCGTTTCTGTATTTCGAGGGATTTTTGAAGCAGTCTCCTTATTTCGATGTTTTCGTCTCTTGTATGGTCTTGTTTCTTTTTAATGGCGCCGTTTTCCTCCCGTAGGGCATTGATATCTCTTTTTAAGGCAGAGATCTCGGCCTGGACTTTGTTTGCTTCTGTGAGGTCTCTCGGTCTGGGAGCCTGGTAGCTCTGGCTTCTTTCTGTGCAGGCGTTGCGTTTGGTGGCGGTGGTTGTCAGTGATCTCTTGCAGTCTTTGATGTATGGGCATCCCTGGTACCTCGCGCTATGGTTCCCTGCGCAGTTTGAGCACTTTCTGTTAAGGTTGGGCTTTTTGAAGTCCGAGTCCTTCTTTGCTAGGCTGCACTCCCTGAAGTTGTGCGGCCCGGCGCAGTAACGACAAATTGGGCTGCTCCGGCAGGTAGCGGCTGTGTGCCACGCCTTGTTACAGCGTGAGCATTGAGGAAGCTCTGTGCTGTATGTTCCCGGTCGCTGCTGTTGTCTGAGTGGGCGGGTGTAAGTAGGCTCCTGCGCCACGACTGGGGCGGCTTCTGGGTAGGCGGGTGCCTCGATAGGGCCTACGTCTAGTGGTGGCGGCGTCTGGGCAGGTGTCTCCTCCGGATCGTCGACCGGTGCCTCGCTGGGTGAGGTTTTCTCGTTCGCTGGCTTTGAACGGGTGATGCGGTCTGGTTGAGGCTTCTTCTGGTAAGTTTTACCTCGGGCCATGGTTGTTGTGGTAGTGGCTGGCGCTGATCTGGCGGCAATTGATTGCTCGCTCCCTGCAGAGTCTGGCAAGGCTTGTTAGAGTATCCTGAAAAGGACACCCAAGCGTGCTTTTCTCCGCAGTTCTCGAGACAATCGTTAAAAAAAAACTGGCTGGTGTGACTGGCTCCTCAACAATGCTGTGCTCCCGGGCCGCTAATAACCCACCCGCAGACGAATAACAATAGCTTAGTCGAGCCAAACTCAGCCGAATATCAAGCGAGTTCTGACCAGTATCTAGCTATCGATAATCAGGCTACGAATGGATAGTTAGCAAGCTAACGAGAGACACGTGGCTGATCGGGCGGTTTGAGCGAGCGAGCGAGAGCTGTGTCCGACTGGGCTGTCTGCGCTGGACTGGGATGATGTTGATTTTTTTTTTTTTTTTTATTTTTTTTTTTTTTTTTTTTTATTTTTTTTCCCCAAACCGTCATGGCGCTTGATATGACCAAAATATTTCAGTTTTCGAGAAAGGATACTGTTTATTAGCCAATCTTCGTTGATGTTCAGATCTTTTAAGATGTAAATATTATTAATCTTCTTTGTCCAAGATATTCTGAGAATCTTTCTATAGCATTTCAGCTCAAAAGCCCCTTTTCTCTTTCTGAAGGACTGAGAGATAGTCCACGACTATCATCCGTATGTAGCCACAGGGAAGATGCATGCTCTCAAAATTCTAAACTTTATCTCTTTGCTGGTGTTTAACAATAGACTTTTAAGGCTGTTCAATCTTTGCATTGCTATTGCCATCCTCCTTTAAATTTCTGTCGAACAGTCTCCATTGTTGTTTATTAGAGAGCCTAGATATTCAAAGTTTGGGACATTTTCAATTTCTTGATCACTTATTGTTATTTGGGCGATAGCCAGTTTTATCTGTGGACATTATTTTCGTTTTCTTTAAATTCAAGAACAGATTCACTGTGCTTTTGGACAGACAATATAAAATTGTCTATTCCCTTTACGCTGTTCGAAAGGAGGACTGTGTCATTTGCGTAGCGGAGTTCCGAAATAGGGTTGCCACAAATTTTGAGCGGATCATAACTGTCACAAGTCTGGTAATTTTTGACATTTCTCATTATATTTTCTGCGAATATATTGAATAAGTATGGTGAGAGAATGCACCTCTGCACTCATCAAACGGCCATCCAACTCACACACAGTCCAGCGCAGACAGCCCAGTCGCACACAGCTCTCGCTCGCTCGCTCGCTCAAACCGCCCGATCAGCACGTGTGTCTCTCGTTCGCTTGCTAACTACCCATTCGTAGCCTGATTATCGATAGCTAGATACTGGTCAGACTCGCTTGATATTCGGCTGAGTTTGGCTCGACTACGCTATCGGTTTTCGTCTGCGTTTGGGTCATTAGCGGCCCGTGAGCACATCATTTGTTGAAGAGCCAGCCATACCAGCCATCTGTGAAACGATTGTCTCTTGAACTGCAGAGAAAAGCACGCTCGGTGTACTTTTCAGTTCACCCAACGAGCCTTGCCAGACTCTGCAGGGAGCGAGCAATCAATTGCCGCCCGACTTATACAGCTCTTTGCCAACCACAGCCACACGAAACCATGGCCCGTGGTAAGAAGAATCCTCTCCAGCGCCGGGACACCAGGGCAACCTCAGCCAAAAAGGAGGAAGCACCTGTCGCCGCACCAGAACTGACGATGCCAGAACCGGTCGACGACCCGGAGGAGACACCAGCCTCACTCACCCAGACGCCACCAGCCCTGGGTGTAGGCCCTATCGAGGCACCAGTCTACTCAGAAGCCGCCCCAGTCGTGGCGCAGGGAGCCATCAACACCCGCCCACTAAGGCAGCAGTATCAGCGACCGGGAACCCACAGCACAGAGATTCTGCAGTGTTCCCGCTGTAACAAGGCGTGGCACACAGCTGCAACCTGCTGGAGCAGCCCAATTTGTCGCTACTGCGCCGGCCCACATGACTTTAAGGACTGCCCTCTGGCTAAAGTGGATCCAGACTTCAGGAAGCCTAATGCAAGTAGGAAGTGCTCCAACTGCTCAGGGGGACACAGCGCCAGGTACCAGGGCTGCCGGTACCTGAAAGGGATCAAGAGAGCTGGGCCGACTACCATCACCAGGACCACTCACAACCAAGAGCCAAGACGAAGATTCCAGGCGCGTAGCTCGACAGCCGCACCACCCGCAAACAACAAGGAGGTCACTCTTTTGAGGGAAGAAATTAAAACCCTCCGTGATGAAAACGCAAGGATCAGAGCACTAAGGATCCAGGATAGAGACGAGATGACCGATCTAAGAAGTATCCTACAGTCCTCACTAGAAACCTTAAGAAGACTGGAGAGATAAAATGCCGAGATGATGGCATTCAAGACAGAATTGATGGCGATGCTCACCGAACTCAAGAAGATTAAAGTAGGAGATGCCGAATCCGCCAAAGAGATCCAAAGAAACCATACAATCCTACTAGCTGATGTAGCCGACGCCAAGAAAGAATCGATAGAAACAAAAGCAGAGCTGGCCAAGGCAAGGAAAGAATTGACCAAACTGACCACAGCACTTCAAGCCACCAAAAAAGTAATAGACGCCAGAGAAAACGCGAAGAAAAAAAGAGACAGAAAAAAGGCAGTTCCACGACAAACACGTGAAACCCGGAGATCTAGAGAAGAAATGCACACAAGACCTGTTCATCCTCAAGGAATGCCTGAAAGACGACTTCTCGGCAATACACAAGGAGGTTAAACAACTCAAAGAGGCCACCCGGCATCTTCAACTCGAAAGTATAAGGAACAACAAAACGAAGATAGCAGCCATCTCAAACGAAAACGACGCCCACGTGAAGTAGCAAATACAAAGCCAACATGCAGCAACCAATGAAAACCGCACAAGCCGCCATGACAGCTGAACAACCCCGCCCACCAGCCCGGAGAAACCTCACAGCCCACAACCAGACGACAGGATGTCCGCCGCCAAAGTCACTCCCACCTCACCCTATCCAGGCCGTCCCAAGGCTATGGCCCGACCTTTTTAGGGCAGGCCGAGATCCCCTCCCTCACTCTGACAGAAGGAACAAACCTCAGGCAGCAATGTAATCGCCAAAACAGAAAAAGTTGATAACTGGAAATACGAATTCCAGACACAAAAACGCCGACCTCTATATAACCGATGCTCAATCTAGGAGCTGGTTAAAAGAGGCACGAAGTTTTTTTTTTTTTTTTTTTTTCGAACATCAAGATCAAGATCGATCACCTCTGCCTCACCCACCCTTTTGCACCTCGAACCAATCAGATGTTTCACCAGCTGCTCTGATGGCTGCTTGTTGTTCATGATAAAGATTTTCAATTAAATGCACTAAATGCGCTAGAAACCCCATACTTTTAATAATAGTCCACAGTTTTTGATCTGCCTGGCCTGGGGGCCTCACCATCAGATCTTTTGAGTTTCATTTTTGGCTTCCATGATGTACATCCCAGAATTACCCGCAGGTCAGCATATAGACAATGAGATGACTGCTGCATGCTGGCAACAGTCAGCTAGTACCCTTCAATATCATCGCAAAGAGATCTGGATCACACCAGAACCCAAAACCGCAAACAACGCAGCACAGCAAGGAAGCAAACAACAATAATATCAGGTGTGTCTACACACCACAAATAAAAGGAAACCATAAAAGACAGCAAAGGACCCTTCTTCGATATAGCAGGCCCTCGGGCGGCTGAAAGAGGATCAAGTTTGGAATTTTTCTTGGACAACTGGCAATGGCAATGGCTGCATGCTGCATCGGACTGTGCACCAATGGCTCGGACCGATGGACTAGGATGTAGATACAGACAAAAGTAACAAGCAACAAAAGACTGTGCAGATCTGTAAAACGAATACGCAGGCAATGTAACAAAACCAAAGTAGTAAGAAAGAGTGACTATGCTAACTTTCTTGTTTGTTTAGAATGGTAAAAGAAAACAGAGAAAAGATTCGAAAGAATACGAAACATATTTTTTATGACAGTAGAAAATGGCCGCACCCGTGTATACAGATATGAATGTACTTCGCCAACCGAATCTATCTGATGTTATTGACTTGGGTATTGAATGTAAGTCTTAGTTACTTTAATAATTTTAAAAAATGGCATATGCTTCTCGTAGAAAATAATTTTATAATCATGCAAAGTATCACAAATATCATTTTAAACTTAAACAATTATTAGGGATTTTAGTCAAAATGTAAAAATTAGGTTTTTTACTTTTAAACCAAGACAGCTGAATAGAGGTTGAAAACCCGAGTCCAACGGTACCTTAATGAAGTCTGTATGTCAATTCTAAGCGGAGATATTCACATTTCAGTGACGGAAAGTTGCCCCAAAAATTTATAATGGAAAACACAGAAACAAGATGGCGGCGTGTTCCCAAGTGAAAACTGGACCTAAATTTATCATGTTTAATGTCAATAACTGCCCGGCTCTCTAGCGGAATTGGCTAAACCGAATTTCGCGGAGACCAGGTGACGTACTCTTACTCTTTGTGGTCCGTGTTCAATCCCGGGGGTAGGCAGGAAAGCCACATTTTCTCCCAGATTTACGGTATTTTATTTACAATGGAATCAAGGCCGAAAGGTTGCGATATCCATAATACCAAGCCTAAGGGTTAACAACTCATGGCTTCTGGATACTAAAACAAACAAAAACAAACAAACAAACAATGTCAAATAACTCTCAAGTTTTTTGCTGAACCCCTTAGCAACCATATGTCATTGCTTTCAGGACAGCAGGCTCTGACTAAAGTTGTTGCCTTTAAAAGAAATGATGTGATGCAAACCTAAATAACATAAAAATGAGTTTGTTTATCAGGATTGATAACCTTATTTATGAATTAAATTAATGATTATTATCCAGTGAGTCTTCCAAGACATATACTGTAATATGCATACTTTTGTAACTATTCTTCTTGTTATGATGCATCTCTTCCTATTTGTTTAAAAATGCTTTTTCTTGCACTCTCAATTGTGTGTGTGTGTGTAGTGTGTATACATCTGACCGAAATTTGCTCTATTCCACTGTTAAAAAATGTTCAATAGCGAGTGGATTGACTTCACTGCATCGTTACTGGTTTCATATGGCTTGGTCTTTCTCCACATAACCATGAACGACTAGCCGCATGCCGAGACCTTAGCAGTAAGCCTGAATACCGTAGCTCCAGCAACAGCCTCCAGGGGTCCCTGTTAACCCAAACAAAATGTATTTTTGAGACGAACAAAACAGTTGTAAAATAAACTCACCGCAACCTTCCGAGCACGAGGTTAATGGCTTAACCACTTTTCTACAGAGACCCCCAATATTGTTTGATAACCAAGTGAAAATATGCACCCTTTTTACTGATTTAACATAATCCCTTCTTCAGTCTTTGCGAGTTATTCTTTAATTTTATTGATGATGAGCGCATTTTACCACAGTGTTTCCCTCTTCTTCTTAACTAGTCACTGCTTGATATTTTATTTACTTGTTCAAAATAATCTAAGGTAACTGCTCATACCTGATTTGTGATTCAGTGCTATGTTTTCATGGAGTAAAATTATTAAATAAGCTCCTTTGTGATTCGCTTTGGATTTATGTTGTGTTTTCATGCAGCAGCATTTCATAAGGTAAGAGGAAAAAGAACATTATATATATTTTATTAACGTATCTATGTCCCATGTGATCTGTTTGCCAGCTAGTATATATTAGTATATTTAGAAAATAATTATTAAATATTAATAATCATAAGTTGTAACTAGCCTTGGCTGTAAGTAAGTAAACTTATGCACAGTTAAACAAATTATAATTTATTATTAATTTTATTAATCGTCAACTTTCTAAATAAGCATCTATAAGTCAATACTAATACTATAATTTTAAAACTAATAGTATCAGTCATAAATAGTAACTGTTATTCATACTATCTAAGACAATAAAAATGCACCACAAAATCAGTGCAGAAATGTTTGGCAGACATTTTTAAAAATGTCAGTCTAGGTTTGATTTGGGGGGGGGGGGGGGGGGGGGGGGGGGGTCAACAGGTAAAAAGGCTTTAAACAGGAACTATTATTCATGCCAAATGATAGGTTATGGCTTAAAAAATGCTATAATGGCTAAAGATTCCCAAAATGATTTAAAAACTACAATAATGTGATTTTAAAGTATATTTAAAAATGTTTTCGTTTAGGCCACGCGGTAGTCATTTTGAGAAATCGCCGATTTAGCTGTCAAGAAGTGACCGGGAAGAAATTTAAATTTTATATTCTATGATGTACAGATTCCAGCAAAACTACCCATATTTATGTAAAAATGGACACAGAATCCAAAAATGTCAACTAAAAGTATATAAATTCACTTTAAAAAGGAGATATTAAAGAAATTTAATTCCCGCATAGCAAATAGTGAAATTTATTTGGCTGAACAAAGATCGCTATGTAAGTTAGGTGTCGTTTGGTTAAGCATCCTCTTCTGAATAACTTTGAGCCCACGTATTCGATTCTGAGCAGCCAGTATTGAGCGACAGGATTTCAAAGTAACTGATAGGCAAAGGAGCCATTTTTCGTGGACCACCGACGCCATCTTGTAACTAAGCGATCTCTACTTTCGTTTTTAAGTGGGTCACTTGAATGATCGTAATCCCTACAATTATATACACGCTTGTTGGGTACTCCGGTACTCCTGTCAAATCCGGACGAAGAATAAACAGCCTTGGACGACTTAGTCAGAGTTCTCTCCCTTGGCCGCACTCCAAACAGTGATCGGAAAAGCCACAACGAAACAAAGAAGACAGTCACGTCGACATCAGGGCTGCCATTGCTTGGTTGTTTCCCCCAGATCCGGGTTTTTTTCGACGCTGCAGGGCAATTCTGGGTGTTTTTTTTTTGGGTGAGTTTTGTTTGTTGGCGTTTGCCTAATTATATGCTTTAATGATCGATAAATTTGCGTGGTTAGGGGGTAGGGGTTAGGGTTAGGGAGTAGGATTAGGTTAGCGGTAGGGTTAGGTTTAGCGTGTACTCCTGTCAAATCCGGACGAAGAATAAACAGTCTTGGACGACTTAGTCAGAGTTCTCTCCCTTTGTCGCACTGCAAACAGTGATCGGAAAAGCCACAACGAAACAAAGAAGACAGTCACGTCGACATCAGGGCTGCCATTGCCTGGTTGTTTCCCCCAGATCCGGGTTTTTTTCGACGCTGCAGGGCAATTCTGGGTGTTTTTTTGGGTGTGTTTTGTTTGTTGGCGTTTGCCGAATTATATGCTTTAATGATCGATAAATTTGCGTGGTTAGGGGCTAGGGGTTAAGGTTAGGGAGTAGGGTTAGCGGTAGGGTTAGGTTTAGCGTTAGATTTGACAATTTTGACGCCGGAGTTCCCTATAATCGCGCACAGTCTCATACACACACACAAACAATCGAGGGCCTCTGGATGCTGGTCACACGCACACTTCGCCAACGATTGGGGGCACCAGTCGCACGCTATTGGCGTCATATTTGGCAGAGTTTCAGTGGCGCCACTCCCACAAACATCATATTGTCGGCCAGTATTTCCAAATCCTACGTCAAAATTTTAACATCTAACCCTAACCCTACCCCTAACCCTGCCCCTAAACCTAACCCTAACCCTACCCCTAACCCTACCCTTAACCCTAACCCTAACCCTACCCCTAACTCTAACCCAACAACCGCATGATGCAGCCCTACACGCAACCGCAGGATGATAGGTAAGTGTGTCGTTTATTTCGTTTGTTTTCCGATTACTGTTCGGAGTGCGGCCAAGGGAGAGAACTCTGACTAACTCGTCCAAGGCTTTTTATTCTTCGTCCGGATTTGACAGGAGAGCACGCTTGTTGGCTACATTCCGAACAACTTACAACGACCACATATTTTGGCGGCCAAAAATACACCCAGACATTTAAATGTGGACTTCAGGCGACTTAAATTGCAGACCAGCGACTATTCCGCAACTGCCGAGAGTATCTCCCGCACCTCTACGTGCGGCGCGGAGCGGAGCGAGGCTAAACTAGATGGCTGGGACTCACGAGCAGCAGCTTCCACATCTCCTGCAGCTTTGCTCAGGAGTCCCAGCAATCTAGTTTAGTTCCGCGCGGCGCAGGAGATACTCCCGGCGGTGGCGGTATAGTCGCCGGAAATCCGCAATTTACATGTGACTGAGGCCCTGTTTTTGGCCGCCATAATATGTGGCCGTTATTTGGAGGGTAGCCCGATTGTTTAAGTTATTTTGTTTTAGTTTTAGTAAAAAGAAAAAAAGCTATCCTCCGAATAACGGTCCTATATTATCGAGGCGGAAAATATACCCTAACAGGGCCTCAGTCACGTGTCAATTGCGCACTTCCGTCATCTTAATATCCTAAATGCACAATTGACATGTGACTGAATCCTAACAAGGCCTCAGTCACATGTCAATAGCGGACTTCCGGCGACTTAAATTGCGTACTTGCGGCAGCTTCCGCCACCACCGAGAGTATCTCCCACGCCGCTAACCGCTGTATGTATAAGGGCTAAACTAGATTGCTGGGACTCACAAGCAGCAGCTACTGCATCTCCTGCAGCTTCCTTCATTTTATTTGCTTGTGAGTCCCAGCCATCTAGTTTAGTCCTTATACATGCAGCGGTTAGCGGCGTGGGAGATACTCTCGGCGGTGGCAGTATAGTCCCCGGAAGTCCGCAATTGACATGTGACTGAGGCCCTGTTAGTGTATATTTTGGTCCTCGATAATTTAGGACCGTTATTCGGAGGATAGCCAATTATTTTTTTTTTTTTTTTGGGGGTATAGATTTTTAAAAACTATTTCATTATCATCATCAGTTCTCGTTATGCCTAGTGGCACATGAGGCTTCAGAGAGGACTTTCCATGCTTTCCTGTCCTTTGCAATCTTCAGTGCAGTTTTCCATGTCAAAGATGCCTCACTCAGGTCACTTTCCATCGTTCATCTCTATGTTGTTTTGGGGCGCCCCTGTTTTCTCTTTCCCTCTGGTGTCCATGTGAGAGCTGTATTGGCAGGTATATCAGAAGTCATTCTCATAACGTGGCCAAGCCATTTCCATCTTCTCTTGGTAATCATACTGTCTAAAGTTTCTTGGTTTGTGGCTTGAAGTAGTTTAGTGTTTGAGATTGTCTCTGGCCAGAAAATTTTGAAAATTCTACGTAGACATGTGTGGTGGAAGGTGGACAGCTTGTGTGCATCCTTTTTGGTCATTCTCCAGCATTCCGCTCCATAAAGAAAAACTGGCAAAATGATGCTCTTGTAGAGTTGGAGTTTCGTTCCTCTGCAGTAATTGTTGGATTTCCAGATTTGCCTCATCCTTCCAAAAGCAGCTCTAGCTTTATTCAGACGTGACTGTATGCCTTCCTCTGTCCCTCCCAGTAGGGACACCACACTGCCAAGATATGTGAAATGTTCTACATTTTCAAGTGATTGGTTACTTATGGTCACTGGTTGTTGGTTTGGACTGTTTGTCATGATCTTAGTTTTCTTTATATTTATTCTCAGTCCCACCATTTCTGCTGTGCAGTTTAGTCTGTTACTTTTCTCTTGTATATGTTTATGTGATAGGAGTGCCAAATCATCTGCAAAATCAAGGTCCTCAAGCATGGTGAATGGAGTCCATCGTATGCCTCTTAATGTCCTGTCAACTGTGTTCTTTAGTATCCAATCAATCACAAATTATTTCCATTTCCATTATTATTGATTCATTTTGGCTGCCAAAAAACACACCCTGAGAGGGCCTCAATCGTGTGTAAATTGAGGACTTCCTCCAAGGAACACATCGCAGCAAAACTAGGATTATTGTCTGTTTTGAGAAACGCAACAATATACACGATAATAGCGACATGGCAGGGAGACCACACACTCCGGCGTTTTTGGCCGCCATAATATGTGGCCGTTATTCAAAAGATAGCCTAATAATTTTTAAACTCACCACCATGGTGCATAAGGAAAACTCAATAAAATATATCCAAAAATGATCCTAAGTGAAAATGAAACACTTAGTCCTTGGGACTCAAAGAGTTAAGCTCACTGTGCCTAGTCTTTAAATAATAATAATATGTGTTCAGTGTACACAGTACATTGACCTTTATAATTGATATTAATATTAATAAAGATTTTATTGAGAAAAGTCACATCTTAAATAAGATTTGTGTGTCCAGATCAGCATAGGCAATAATCGGAGTCATAATATTGGAATGACCAGACATTGTATAGTGAGTAGTTTGGTATCAAAAGAGTTAATGTTTTTAAAAAAGAGTCTATCTCTGTCTCTCACACACACATGCACACACTTTCACAATAGTTTATATAATTAATCCCCACAGACACTTACCACATTTGTTTTATCCACTCCAACTAGGTCTTTGTTATCATAATATCTTGTTCTTTTTTTTCTCCTCCACTTCTCCTTTTTATCCACTTCCTCTTTTCCTTTTCTGTCTCTTCCATTTTCTGCTTCTTCATGTCGCCTTTATTTGAGCATAAGCCCTCATCTGACTCGTGTCACACGTTATTAACTCCTGTGTAACCGTAGGGTGGCCCAAAATGACAGTGTAATACGCAGGGCTTTTATCTAGAGGGAAAAAAGGGTGCCTTACTCCATACTCACTACAAAAATAGAGAAAAGGTGCCAGTACTGTGTATTGTTGCTACCACCAGGAAAAAAGGCCCTGGTTAAACAGGGTTTCGGGGATTTGCTCCAGTTGATTGACATCCAAATAGTGACACTTAATTAAATCACTGGGTGACAACCTTTCAGGCTGCAGTCCTAGGCAACAGTTAAAAAAAAATATTAGCCTTCTCTCTATGGGTTCATTTTTTAAAATGCATTTTCATAGATGATTACTTTTTCCATTTGTTCCAGTGGGATTTGAACAGTTTGCCATTAATTATGTTGTTTCCAGCTTGCAAGGTGGGAAAGGAAAAAAGAATGAAAAGGTAAATGTATGTTTAATAAAGTTAATAAATTATTAACCACTGCAGGCTTTTACTTTAATTTTGGATTTTTTTTAATGGAAATGTCTAAACCAAAAGCTACAGACAGGATAGGAACTTTGTGGAATAAACCAGAGTATTTTTCATTTTGCATTATGGCATGCTGAAGTCACTAGCCATTTAAACTGTGAGCTTCTCTCTGTCTCTCTCTCTCCCCACTCCAGTTTGGTTGGGGGGGCTGAGGTCAAAATAAACATTCAAATTGCAACAGAAATGGCATTTTGATAAATAAAAGGTTTTTTAAAAAAAATTTACCAACTGAACTAGCCATTCTGTTGCCTTGTTAGTGAATAACCGTCTTGAAAGAGACATATTTACATGTATCAATGGAAAGTTTGGCTTTTGAGGTTTAATAGATAGTTTCTTGTGACAAGATACGAAAATGCATGAAATATAGACATGACTAGACTTCATAAAAGTATTTATAAATATGAATTACCTTTTACCCTCCATTCAGCTTATTGTTCCACCACCTGCTGAAGTACTTTTAAATGATGAAAGTGTGAGATCGATCCAGGTATGCCTGTTCTGTCGCCATCTCTTTTAATTATTTTGGCTGTTTTGATGTGGCTTATGTTGTTAATGTGTTTATATTTTCACACTGCCTTGAAATTCATATGATTTCTCTCTGAAATTTGTTTTTCCTTTGTTTAGCAGTATTCAAAGTTAATAGAGTGTATTTGCATCCTTGACAACCTTTTGTCATGGCATGGAAAAATATCAGCCTGCACATTTATACATGCTGGTGGAGATTGCAAGATGTGGAGGGACATGATCACCTCTGCTAGTTATTAATGATGATGATGACAGTTTTGCAGGGTGTCTGTTCACCTAATGGAGCTGCAATATTTGTGCCTCATGACCACCGTATCCTGCTACTCCCAGTATTTTTCCTGTCATGAGTCAACTTTATCACAGACTGAGAGAGAAAGACAAACAATGACTAGACTGACTCATAACAGCGGACAGGTCAATTACTGGACAGACGGGTTGTGTGTAGACCCGCAGGGCTGTACGGGTGACTGAGTTACTTGACAAACGGGTAGAACGACACACGGCAGTTAGTAGTTTGATAGTCAAGTGGACGGATGTGTATATTTGGTGCCCTTAAAGTGTGGGGATTATTTTTCGCTTGGCATGGACTGGATTTAAAACTGGAGAGGACAGTAGTAGTTATTCATACTTATGACAAGTGTTTCTTTTATGTAGTCGGGATTATAAAGTTAGTTATGGTAGCCAAGATGATGGTTAATTATTTCTCCAGATGCATCCGCTAGCCTCTCGTGACTTCGTTCATATTGCTAGGATGATTGTGATCAGCTATACCAGCTTACTGTTGATGTACTTAGCCAGTGACTACCTGGGATTAGTGTGCTTGTGAGCTATAAGAATAAATGGGTGGCTACTCAGTAGTCAATAACGTTATGTGGAAGCCAGACTAACTTTGCAATTATCATGAGTACTTAAACATTCTTTGAGAACTAGAACACAGTAATCAGTGTTTACATGTTAACGAAAGTGTTGGTACACTGACAATCTGGTTTAGCCTTCCTGTGTAGTTTTGAAGGATATTCTTCTCCCACATTATGAAGGCATATGTGTCCATCCATGTTTATGGGAAATTCACCCCAGATAGTGATGACATGTTTTTGCCAATTTGTGCTGGGTGTAATATAGCATTTAGGAGGGACGGTTGCAGAGCCTGACTGACTGGACGGGTCTCGGGCATGCAACCATGGGGTCCATCGTGGCTGGCTGCTGGGGGGGTGGAGAGGGCTGATCGGACAGTCAACATAAACTGGTGACCCAACGACATGTAGTGTTACGGAATGATGATGATGATTATACCATGAAAGGATATCAAACCAAACGAAAAGTAGAACTAGTCAGCTTCAAATTATCACAATAACAAACAATAAATTAGCGTTAAAGCTAGCAAACCTTCATCAGCATATGACAAAAATACTGTTACAATTCCAAACAAGAATACAAAGGAACACAAATTTGAAGTCTGTCCAAGAAATATCCATGAACTTTCTGGAAAGTACAAGCTGTATGTATTGTTAACATTTATATATGTTGACATTTCCTATTTACAGAAGAGATGTGCATCATTCAAGCAGCTGTCCAGGTTAACTGCTGTATTAGAGGATGCCTCGAATACCCATCGCTTGGTAGGATTAATGTTAAGTTTCTTCTGGAAGGCAGAATGATGCTTTTTGATTGGAAAATATTTTTATTTTATTTTTTATTATTTAAAAAAAAAAAAAAATATATATATATATATATATATATATAAATATGTATATATATATATATATATATATGGTGGAATACAGTCCTGAAGAATATAAGCGCTGTTGAGCTGAAATGCTATAGAAGATCTCAGAATACGATGAACAAAAAACAAAAGAAATACTGACATCCTAAAAGATCTGAATATCAAGGAAGATTAGCTAGTAAACATCATCTTGTCTCAGAAACTGAAATATTTTGGCCATGGTGGATTGGAAAAAAATAATAGCAGAAGACATAGTACCAGGAAAGAGGGGCAAGGGCTGACCTGCAAGAAGTTGGGTGCAGGATACTAATGATACCTTAGGTAGGAAAATGCACAAGGCGTGAGAGCTAGTGGGAGACTGAGTTTCTTTTAGGCAGACCGTGATGACAGTGACGTTCTTTAAAGGACCTACTACATGATGAGGATGGGTTGAGCACATTTGAGGCCAATAGTTAAGGGTAAATGTTTTTCACAGAAATCTGATGATGTCAAATTTTCCTGTGATCGCTATATAGTGGATCAGGAGTGACTGATTGAAGGGTTAGAACATGGGGCTGTCCTGCAGGAGACCTAGGTTATCCCAGGAAAGGTGGTGAGCATTTTTCTGTCACAGGAAATCAAATGAAAGTCTTAATCAGCACAGATCTTGATGTCAGTACTAACTAAGCAGTCCTATATTGTCAGACTCAAGAGTTCCCTACTCTAGACCACCTTAAAAAGTGGGAAATACAGGCAGTAAAGATTGCTATGTATTGGATTAAATGCCCCATATGTAGATTCTTGGCGCCATTGTGGGGAAAACGAACAAGAATAAGCCCACTGCCTCTATAACAAGCATGTGGTAAGAGTAGACTAACTAGGATATTCCTTCAAAGTCGGAGTGCATCTGCCTGAGAGGCGAGGAACCAGCAGTCTACATACAAATTAGCCAGATCTGTAGAACTGATGTGCACCCAGAACTCAAGTTCTGGAACAAAAGTGAATAACCAGAACTTTCGTCAGAGTTTACAGCAAAGAAGAAGAAGAAAGATAAAATATGACTTGATGTTTTTATGGATTCACCTTAATGCTGTAAGGTATGTCACGTTCTTTAGTCACATATACCCTCATTTAAAGTTGCAGATAATCCAAGTTTCATGTTCATCAACCTTAGAACCTTGTATCCACGTGTTGGAAGAAAAAAGGAATAGGCTCACTGTCCCCCATAACCAGGATGTCATAAAAGTCGACCATTTAGAGATGTTTCCTTTGTAGTAGAAGTACATCTGTCTGAGAGGCAAGAAACCAGCAGTCAGCATACAGAAAAGCTAGATCTGTATGGATGTGCACAAACAACTCAAGTTCTAGGATAAAACGAAATTTTAAGTCCAGATGAACAAACTTCCTGCCAAATTTTACAGCCGGCAAACAAGAAGAAGAAAACATTGCTCATTGTTGCTGTATCAACAAAATCAATGTTGTCTTGGTCAAAAGGAAGAAAATCTGGTAATTCTTTGCTCCTGTTGTATTTAGTGATTATTTCCTTTCATTGAAAAAAAATAATCTTTGCGAAAAGTGGTGACTACAAATATCCCCAAAATTTGTTTTAGTTACTGGATGGTCACAGTAACCATCACACTTGCTTATCTGCTCAGTGTCATAGGTTTGAACCCTTGAATTTTTATTAAAAAATTACCAGGACTCAAAATTTCTGCTTTTCTTCTCTTTCTCTATTTTCTTGGGAAGATGCTGTGTCATCAAAAACCAGGAAAACTTGCTTTCTCCGTATGACAAGGTAAAAAGAAGGGACCATTTTGGGACACCTTCAATAGCTTTTCCTCTGCTGTCAGAGATTAAATATAAATCTTAGCATGTTTTTTGCTTGGAAAGTAACCTTTATCTTGTCCTTAATAAAAAAAACAAAAAATTCTTTTAGCAATGATAAAAATAATGTAGTTATTTATATTTCATGTTTTTTGTGTGTTTATAAATCTTACAGGTACATATTAGGTCTTTTTGATAAGCTTGATACTTTATTAGAAAGAAAGAATGTTTGTTACTGTGAATGAAGGTGTTTATTGTTACCTGTAGTGTTTCTCTGAGCTAATTTTATTTATTTATTTAAATTAAAAAAATTCAGGGAGCAGCAGATATTCAGGCATATGACATTATTGCTGTGCAAGTTACAAATGAAAAGACATTTCAGGTAACATCATCTTTGCTTCTTTTTTAACACCATGGGGTGTTTAATAATTCCAAAAGCCACAATTAGTTATAAACTATTCTGTTCAAAGATCTCCCCTTCTCAACAAATAAATATTAAATAAACGTTTGTGCCACAAAGGTATGTGTAACATTTACCAGTGATAAATGAAAGGGAAGCAGAGTGCTGAATCCCAGTGTGGATTCCTGACCCCATTGTGGGGAAAACAAAAATAGACCCACTGCCTGCCCAACTAACATGTTGTAAGAGTTGACTAATTGGGAGCTTCCTTCAAATTCGAGTGCATCTGCCTGAGAGCCAAGAAACCAACAGTCTGCATACAATGAAGTCAGATCTGGTGAATGGATGTGCACGCAACACTCAGGTTCTGGAACAAGACTAAAGTCCAGAGATGGACAAACAACCAGAACTTTTTGCAGGAGTTTACAGCCAGTGAACTTAAGAAGAAGAGAAGGGCTGAACTGGACATAGCGGTGCACCGGAACCAGGGCTCATACTACGCAAGACCCACCTACACCTGTCCGTGGTCATCCCAGAAACAGGTTTCCATCTGAGAGCCTGGTCAGTGTAGATAGGATCGGCATTTCCTTCGGATATATGAGTGCCTGAAAGGCATGGAACCAACAGTGCAAATAAGCCAGAACTGTAAGATGGATGTGCATACAAAACAAGTCCTGGAACAAGAAGACCAAAGTTCAGAAGTGAGCAGACAATCAAGACTTTCTGATAGAGCTGGGAATGCAGAAAAGAAGAAGAATGAAAGAAAATTAATGTCAGCTTGTTTATGTTGAATGTAATGCATTTGGCACCCCAAAAAAATGTATGCACATAAGGAATTCAGAGTAAAAAGCTAACAAAAGCCAACATTATGCCTCTACTATCATAATATGGCTCGAAAAGGTGGTGTAAAAAATTTCAAACATTAATTAATATGAGTTTAATCTGAGTTTTCTCCAAGTATATATCCATGATATTTCTGGAAGGTAGAAACCATATGTGTTGTTAGCATTTATATTGGCATTTCCTACTTACAGAAGAGATGTGCATGATTCAAACAACTGTCCAGGTTAACTGCGGTATTTAGCAGTTTGTCAGAGTTTACAACCAGTGGGAGAGACAGTGAATGCAGCCAGACTTCCATAGGAAGACAGCATTAAATTGATTTATTGTATGATCAAGAACTGATTTAATGTTTTTTAAAATATTGTATGTGAAGTAGAGACCTTTTTTGGTTATAAATTATTTGAGTTTTTTATTTTATTTTCAGCTAGCATGCAGTACACTGGATGTTGACATCATATGCTTCAATCTCTCAGAAAGTCTTGGATTTTCGTTAAAGAGAGCCATGATCAACTTGGTGTGTATCTCAAAGTTGTGCTTATGTGAATATTTAACTCTTTGTGTCATTTATATTTTCTGGCAATTGTCTAAGAAGGAAAGGTGCCAAGGAAGGGAGCTGACCAGCCCACATCATATTATGTGGCCTAGAATATAGGAAAGCCAAACAAACACTTGACATCCTGATGACAGTATTTGCTATGGAATTGTCTTTGATACTGGCAGCACAATATGAGAAATTGGGGATGACATACATTTCTTTCTTTGCCTACTTTATATGGACATTAAAGTTTCAAACAAAAATTACCAGTTGTGACTCAGACCTCATAGACAATTACATCATTCTGGGATTGAAACACAAAACCATTATTTTAATTTGAAAAAAAAATAGCGAAGTAAAGGAGAACTCACCAAAAAAAAAATCATGCAGCGAGAAGCCTAATTAATTTAAGGTGCAATGGGATTTAGAATTGTTTGCTTCTTACAGCAGGCCTGATAGGGTTAAATTTTCTGTCTTTTGCTAAAACAGTGTCAAGAAAATTTTGCATTAGTGTTTAAGTACATTTTTTGTGTTGCTATTACAAATAATCCTGTCTCTTGTAGATTTTTTTTTGCCTTCAGTGCAAACATTGCTTCTCTTTAGGTCTCTATGTCCTAAAAGTTAGTTAATGTGTTCAACATTTTCACAGCTTTCAACAACCATGGTTCTTCTTCTTCATCATCTTTTGCCCAAGTGGCCTGATTGCATAGTGCCTGTTTACAGCGTAGCTGCAACATTTACAGATAATCCGACTTCATCTGGCATTTGTTTTCCAGGTTAGCTATCCCGGTAAATTTCATGAGACATTTCACAGCCCCATCTGTATGGCGACTTTTTTATCCCCTGCTCCAGAGGTGTTGTCCCAGAGGATCCACAGCCAGTGCAGATGAGTCAACCCTTAAGGAAAAGCAGGGGCAGAACATAGACACTATATAACCCACTGACTACCATGATAGCATAAATGCAATTGATACATAGCGCTGTGATCTCGCCCTGGGAATTTTCATGTCCTGCCCATTACTACTCAATCACATCCATATATTGAGCCTCACAACTCATTACATACTTTACCCTTTTGGCTATGCACAGGAAGCAGTCCGCAGATCTACATAAAATGGGAATCTGACTACCTTAGGATGTTAGATTGCTCTGGTAGTCAATGGCACCTTTCACATGGATGCCTTGGAAAGCTTATCACGGTAGAATAGGGAGAGCTTGCATCAGGCATGGCTTCCGCATATGACCTTTACGCACCAGTGTGGGGCCAGTAGTAGCAGAATTTGAACCTTTTATCCTCAAGTACAGAAGAAATGACATACTAGTTTCCCATCTCAACAGGTGTCATACAGGGATATGTCCTCTCACCATTGCTATTGATTACTTACATGGATAGAATATCACAGAGGCAAATACAGACACTGCAGAAATCAATGAACTTCTTTTTGCAGATGATCAGTGTCTAACACACCACCAAACACATAATTTTAAACACCATGTTGACTCCTTACATCAAGCCTACGCAAAGTATGACATGAGAATAAACACCGCCAAAACTGAAATAAGGAGGATAGGCAGGAAACATAATATCATGAACATTCATGTTAACGGTACTACAATTAAACAAGTACAAGAATTAAAATATCTAGGAAGCACATTTACAGAGGATGGCAGAATCGAAAGTGAAATAGAAGCCAGAGTACAGAAGGCAAATGCTGTCACCTGCCAGTTAGCTCCACTGGATAAACACCTAAATGTCTCCCTTCCAGCAAAACAGCAAATTATTATCAGTGCCAAACATGGACAATGAATAGGGCACTAGAAGTGAAAATAACTACCTGTGAAGTGCGCTGTCTCCGCAAGGTCACTAACAACACTAGACGAGACATGGTTACGTATAGCAGCATTAGAGAGAAACTTGGAATAAGACCATGTCTGGATTATATTAACAGACAAAGAATGAAATGGTTCTGCCATCTAGTGAGAATGCAGCCAGACTAGACAGACTGCATATTAGACTTTTTACAGTAGAACATAAGGGAGGAAGGTGAGAGAAAGACCAAGAAAGATATGGATAAATGATGAAGATGAAACCTGTAAAAAGTTGAACAAATCCATCACTTAAGCCACCGGAGAAGTGCAAGACAAATACAGAAAACCACAACACTAGGCTACAACCTGGTAACAGTGAGATGACAAAAGAAAGACAAAGATCCTCAAGTAGGATCTTTGCATGACAGACATTTGAATGTAAATGGTCACCTAATAGGACACTCATTGGACTGACATTTGAACCCAAGTTGCCATTTATCAGGACTCTGTTGACAGAACCAGAGTTAGTCATTTAGTAGGAAATTTAAACAGTGGACTTCACTAATTTTCAGGATCAGTTTTCTACCCATGAACTGGAAATGGACTTATAATGCCAAAGGTTTTCTGAACCTTGGGAGGGGGTGGGGAAAGGTACCATCTCCAAGATCACCTGCCACTCAGTTTAGGCCAGAACCTGCCATTATCCATGGCACTCAACACTGATTTACAGCAGAAGTCTTCATGATGTTCTGTAAAACCAACACAGAACCTGCTGGCATCCAAGGTGAGGTGCAGGGTAACCCCTAATGCACAGCACGGCCGCCCTAACTTTCTCTCAAGCTCATGACCATCATCACCACACCACGAGTACCAGGGAAAAGCTTGGGGCCTCACTACATAATATTCTTAAAAATATCTTTGGAGCATATCCACTGCCACCAAGTTACATTCTGGAAAGGGCTACATTTTTATTATTCATTTTTTTTCTTCACATTACCATTAAAAGAATAATTTTTAGGCATAAAGATGGGTTATTCATATGGCTGCATTCTTAATGCTATATATATATATATATATATATATATATATATATATATATATATATATATATATATATATATATATATATATATATATATATATATATATATATATATATATATATATATATAGCTTATATTTTATCCAGATGTAATTTGTTAAAACTTTGTTTACAGTACTTTTAAATATCTCATTTGTAGGCAGCTAAAAGGGGTATCCACTTTGAAATTGTTTACAGTCCAGCTCTGCAGGAAAATACAGTGAAGAGGAACACAATATCAAATGCCATGTCGTTAATTCGAGCAGGGGGAGGCAAGGTTAGTCAAGTGTAGATTTAACTGTTGGTAAACCGTGTGCCACTTGCAATCATTCATAAATCACCCTATCTGTACCCAACTCCACTTAGTGTGGCTAATTCAGTAATTTGTCAATCTTCTTCTTTGTGTTCACTGGCTCTTTTTCTTCTTCTTCGCGTTCACCAGTTGTAAACTCCGGCGAAAAGTTCTGGTTGTTCGTCCACTTCTGGACTGCATTCCTGTTCCAGAACCTGAGTTTTGCGCGTGTGCATCCATTTTGACAGATCTGACTAATTTGTATGCAGACTGTTGGTTCCTTGCCTCTCAAGCAGAATCACTCCGACTTCGAAGGAATTCACTGGTTCTGAACTGCAGTAGAAAGTTCTCGTTGTTTGTCCATTTCTGGATTTTAGTCTTGTTCAAGAAGAGAATTAGGTGCACATCTGTTTTACCTATCTGGCTTACTGTATGCACACTGTTGGTTCCACTCTGTCAGGCAGATGCACTCCGACTCTGAAAAAAAAAACACCCCTGATTAGTCACCTTATAAAACATGCTTAGTGGGGAGGCCGTGGGTCTATTTCTCCCCCCCAGGACCCACACAGGGATTTCGTTAATCAATCAGGTGCCATGTCCACAATGACAGTTGGATCTTCAGCTGTGTCTTTCACCCTAGGTGTACACTCTCTCAGATTGCTGCTCATCTATCTCGTGATGTTATCCTGTCACCTGTAATGCTGTCTGCTTCTGGTTCCCTTGCCTTCAGCTTTTCCAGGGTTTTTAAAATCTTTTATAAGTGTTATATATTGTATTGTGTCCAAAAAATTTCACTTGCCTTTTTTAATTCTTTTAGCAATTGTCTTTTTATTCCCATCCCTTCTAAACTTCTATATTTGATAGATTTTGTTCATTCAGACTTTACAAGTCCAGGTTAAGTACAAGTCTGATTTTGTTAATTCAGACTTTAGAAGTCCAGATCAAGACTCTAAAAGTTCAGATTAAGTAAAATCTGATTTTTTTAAATTCAAACTTTACAAGCCCAGATTAAGTAAACTCTAATTTCGTTAATTTAGACTTTACAGATCCACATAAAGTAAAATCTTCAATAATTTAGACTTTACATATCCACATAAAAGTAAAATCTTCATTAATTTAGACTTTACAGATCCAGATTAATTAAAATCTAAGGTGTGTATTCCACTTCATTATGTTTACAGGTCTCTTCTGGTTATCTATGTGATTGAATAAAGATCTGAAGCAGTGATCTTCAGACTGTTAGTACCAATTATGACTTGAAGTTTAGTCTGAACAATAAGCGTTTTAGTTAAAAGGTAGTTTTAAAGTGCAACACAAAGAGTTAATAACACTAATTATAATTAACACAGTATAGCTGATGGAGGTAAACCAATGATTGCTTTTCAGGGAACAATATTAAATGGACCTACATGCCATATTACTGTCCCTTTAAAAATAAAGTTTGTTCATTTGAATATTTGCTTGTTTTTCACTAGGAAATAACTTATTTTCAACAAGGCGCCAAAAGATAGCTTAAGACTAAGAAAAACTGTCATTGCATATTTAATTGCAATATACCATATGTTCACTACATTTAAAAGCAGATTATGTAAGCATATATTTATTTAGAAACAGGCCCTTTTCATCAGTCGTTTTTTTATTCACAGTCCATACCATGTAAAGTTTAGTATGGATTGATACAGTAGAAGGGCTTGTGCTGCGTTGGTGGATAACATCTGACAAGAATTCCGTAATACCAGCTGCCACAGAGTGCAACACTGGAGAAATATAATGAATGCAAAGCAAGGGAAATATATATAAAAATGGAATGACTGCATAAAGAATAGCCTAAAAGAAATGAAGATCGACTGATAAAAGAGAGAAAAAAAACACACCACCCCACTTTTTTTTTTCTCTCGATCAATTAACTGGAGGAATAATAATAAGAAGAAAAAGGAAGTTTTTGTTACTGCGGATGTTCTGGTCATGGGCTCGGTCAAGGAAACATCACGTCTTACATATGACTGACATATAGCTGATAGAAGTTTCTGTTACTGTGGATGTTCTGATCATGGGCTCGGTCAAGGAAACATCACATCTTACATATGACTGACATATAGCTGATGGAAGTTTCTGTTACTGTGGATGTTCTGATCATGGGCTCGGTCAAGGAAACATCACATCTTACATATGACTGACATATAGCTGATGGAAGTTTCTGTTACTGCGGATGTTCTGGTCATGGGCTCGGTCAAGGAAACATCACATCTTACATATGACTGACATACAGCTGATGGAAGTTTCTGTTACTGTGGATGTTCTGATCATGGGCTCGGTCAAGGAAACATCACATCTTACATATGACTGACATATAGCTAATGGAAGTTTCTGTTACTGCGGATGTTCTGGTCATGGGCTCGGTCAAGGAAACATCACATCTTACATATGACTGACATATAGCTAATGGAAGTTTCTGTTACTGTGGATGTTCTGGTCATGGGCTCGGTCAAGGAAACATCACATCTTACATATGACTGACATATAGCTGATGGAAGTTTCTGTTACTGCGGATGTTCTGGTCATGGGCTCGGTCAAGGAAACATCACATCTTACATATGACTGACATATAGCTAATGGAAGTTTCTGTTACTGTGGATGTTCTGATCATGGGCTCGGTCAAGGAAACATCACATCTTACATATGACTGACATATAGCTAATGGAAGTTTCTGTTACTGCGGATGTTCTGGTCATGGGCTCGGTCAAGGAAACATCACATCTTACATATGACTGACATATAGCTAATGGAAGTTTCTGTTACTGTGGATGTTCTGGTCATGGGCTCGGTCAAGGAAACATCGCATCTTACATATGACTGACATATAGCTGATGGAAGTTTCTGTTACTGTGGATGTTCTGGTCATGGGCTCGGTCAAGGAAACATCACATCTCACATATGACTGACATATAGCTAATGGAAGTTTCTGTTACTGCGGATGTTCTGGTCATGGGCTCGGTCAATGAAACATCACATCTTACATATGACTGACATTTAGCTGATGGAAGTTTCTGTTACTGCGGATGTTCTGGTCATGGGCTCGGTCAAGGAAACATCACATCTTACATATGACTGACATATAGCTGATGGAAGTTTCTATTATTTCAGGGCCAAAGCTTTTTGCTCTGGCTCTAAGCTAATCCAGTAAATGTCTGTCCTTCAGTATTATCTAATTAGTATTGTATTGCTGCCTGCGTTTAATTTTTCTACCCAGCATGATGTTTAAATGTGGCTAAAATATTTGAATTTCCTCCTTTATTTTATCATTCACAGAACGTTATAATCAGCAGTGGTTCAGAGCAGGTAATTTATTTATACTGTTGTGTAATGTATAAATTAACTTTGTAAATTTTAGTCAGGCTGATTGTGTTTATAATATACCAGCAGAATATTCTGTAACAGTTTTATTCAAAGCTATGTTTATATTGGTTTAAAATTATACAATTGGAACCTGCATAGAAAGACATGACCTAGCATGCTTATCTGGTTGTTGTACCTCTGGTTGAGCCAAAGGATATCTTGAAAATCGGCAAAGCTTAAAATGTGTTCCAGTCTTGTCTTGTCTTATTTAGTGGGAAAAAAATGGACCCCATTCAGCCAGCTTTCCGGGGGTTAAATTTTGGTCTTCATTGTTTGGGCCATCTTTGTGGTTTAAAACTACTCACCACCAAGTTGCCCTGAAACGGACTTTTTGCAATATTATGTGATGACCCGGCCACTTTCGTGCCAGCGACAGAATCACTCATTGGCCAGCCAGTAAACCACCCAGTCACCAGTGATGGGTTCCAGCAAATATCTTGGGAAATAAAAACTGCCTTTGGAATATTGACCACATCACCACCCATTGAGAATCTGTTGGTTTTTACAAATATAGGTCATATACCCAGTATGTTTCATGGCAGGGACAAGGGTCCCTGTTTTTGTGTGTGTGTGTGTGTGTTTAGCCCAGCGCTCCAGCGTAGTTAATAGTGCGTTGGACACCATGTGACAATTCCCATGCATGTCTGGTCTCGGGTTCGAGCCGGGGGTTGGCAGAAAACCGCATCCTTTCCAGATTAACACTGTACGTGGCACCGAGGCTGAAGGGCTTCGATGCTCACAACACTAAGCCAAATGTTTACTTGCCTAATCTGCATGATACAAAATGACAAGAATGCAAAGTTGCATGCCACAAATGCTAGCCTGAATTTAAGATAGCTCAAAAAAACTTGCCTTGTCTTTCTTGAAATGTTAAAATTGTGTTAAAACATAAATGTGAATGTTAAAAACTATTGATAAGAAAAATCTGTTTTTGTTTCGTTTAAGCAGTCACAGGTGTTTTTTTTTATTGATTTGTATCTGTTTCTTTTTGTTTCAGCCAATAGATCTGCGCAGCCCTTATGATGTTATTAATTTGTATCCTTTACATTTTAATGCTTATCATTTTGTCTGCAACCCCTCTCCCCTCTCCCCTTTGTGTTTAATTCTATTGAACTTGATGTCAATTTTGTGTGTGTTGTTCAATTAATTTGTCCACTTAAATTGTAAATTCTATCTGTGTATTAACTAGTCTTCATTCATTCACATATTCAAAATTGTTTTATATATTTTATCAGTTGTGCTTCATATTTCTCTTTCTTCTTCTTCTTCTTCTCTCTGTGTCTGCCTCCCTCTTAATCTCTCAAATAACTTTCACAGTTATAGGAAAATGTAAAGTTATGTGTCCTTTCTAGGATGTTGCAGAACTAGCCCCAGCATTTTTAGGCTATTTGTGATTTTACTAGGCAATTTCTTCTTCTGCATTTGCCCTTTAATGTGCGGTTGGCCCATCGAATTGTGCTTTACAACTAGACTGTTGTTGTGTGCTATCTGCGTTACACACTAATCAGCACCCTTCCAAGTGTCCAACAGGTACAACTTTCACTCCCTCTCACTAGAAGCAGGACTCGACCACAGTAGTTCCGTCACATAGCATATTTATTCGACAGAACACACGAGGGTATACATAAGCTCTCATATCAACAAAACTGCAGAGACGTAGACATTGATCCCAATTGACATTCGCACATAGTCCATTTAGTCCTCACTCGCTCTCTATCAACTTGTAGCGACCTCTACCTGACCACTACAGCTCCAAAGGCCTACAGCGTCCCACAACTCTGAGCACGCCGTACCGCTGAATAGGACGAATTCTCTTATCCACTGGACCTTAAAATTATTTCAGCAGACAACCACGGCTGACTGGAGACGGACTTCCCTTGCCGTACTCCAAAAGCACACAGCTCTCGTCAGCCTGTCGAAGGACTCCAATGACCGACAGGACTTCTAACACAAGTCCCCTCTAGCACACAGCTCTCGTTGGCATCACCCCCTGTTCTGTTTCCGTAATGACATTACGTCTCCTCGCGTCGTCACCCAGAACAGGTACTATTGGAGCATCCTGTCCCCTTGGACTTACTTCGCCAGCGGGACTATACCTTCGACCAGTACCGCAACCTTAACCGTTACTCAGACCTTGATGCCTGATAGTTGTACGGTACTTTGTTATACTCGAGAAAGATAATCACCGACCCTGACTTAAGTCTCTCGCTCTTTCTTGCTCTGACTCTCGACTCTGACTCAGACTGACTATTCAGCTCCAATTTATCCCTGTTGAACTCATAGGTTACACGAGAGGCACTCTCGTGTGGGTGTTCTGGGGAAACATGCTCATGTGGGTGTTCTCGAAACTCACGCTCAAGGGAGTGTTCTCGAGGATCACACTTATGTGAGTGGCTGATGTTACATGAGAATCACGCTGTCAAGTAATACACACTTCCTCTGTGGGTCTCGTTAATCCATTCTTGTCAACCCCCACACAGTAACTCTCTCCCCCTAAATACTCGGCCAATGTTAACACTAATTCCCCGTGAACTCACAGAAAGTTCTATCATACCACTCTGTCCCTTCACACACTAATACACTCTCCCAAATCAGCACTCAACAACTGTGATAACTGTGCCTTTCCATAAACATTGTTCTTACAATCCTTGATAATATTTTAGAGCTAGGCTGTTTGGACTCAGCCATTCACAAGCAAAAGATGCTATTTGTAGAAACTGCAGAGCAGTTCTCAAACATGCAGGTATGTTATGTTTTTCTTTGTGGTCCCTCATTTATGTATTGTATTTTTCTATTTGGTATGTTGTTTTAAACAATTCGTGTGTTTTGTAGAGTTTCGTATGTTCTGTTGTACAGTATTGTGTATTTTATATTTATTAACAGCTTTGTATGTTATTCTGCTGGATGTAAATAAATCATTATGGTCTGAGGAGAATGGCGCTGCGGAAAGTTACCAGGGGATCCGGCTGACACTCAAATCTTGAGGGAAAGGCGAGACAGATGTACAATCAGATAGTTACTGGTACCATCAGAATTGGAACTCTTTGCTCGCTGCTGAAGATGGGGATGAAGTGCTTATGGGAGTGTTCTGAGTGCTTTGATGTCTATTCAACTTTGGATGTTTTGTATTGGACAGTTTGGGCTGTTATATTGAACAGTTTGGTGTGTTGTATTATGTAACTTTGTATGTTATATTGCATGTTTGGGTGTGTGGTAGGATGCAGTTTGGTGTGTTGAATTATATATTTTAATGTGTTGTATGTTATGATCATCATGTAGCAGTTCTTTTGCAAAAATATCACACTTATCACATCACTCCAGAGAGCCACCCAGTCCTTTTTTTTAATGCCTAGGTGTCCTTTACCTCCTATGTCCACCTTTGTACTGATCAATTCATTCCTCTCCCTCTGGAAACCTAACTGACCATTATTGTTCTCTTAAACCATTATGGCGCTTAATATGGCTGAAGTAATTACCATATTTTTCCGTAAATAAAACAGTATGTTTTCCCAAGTTTTGTTTATTAAATTTAAATATCGAGGTCCTCTTATACACAATGTGTTTAGTATATTGGCTCTCCTTTAAATAATGGTCGCTAGCTGGAAAGCCGACGGTCGCTTAGTCGGAGTTCACTCCCTTGGCTGCAGTGCAAATACAGAGTGGTAAAGAGGGAACGAAACAAATGATATAGTTGCCTGTCATCCTAGGGTTAGGCTTAAGGCTTGGGTTAGGGGTAGGGTTAGAGTGACACATCACGGACATGACGGAAGCTTATCGCTAATTATGACATACAGATCCGCAGGTCTCACATCTACGGTCACTACGTCGTGCGTCGGAAGAACGCGGTCGCTAATCTGAGTTGCAGCGCATAGTCTACGAGAGTCTTGCGTCGCAAGACCGTGGTCGCTACTGTCAGTCGCAGCGCGTGGTCTAGCTCTAGCAGGCGTGTCGACCTCTCTTTTTTGATTCGTGACTTGTCCGCTCCGTATTTGCACTGCAGCCAAGGGAGTGAACTCGACTAAGCGACCGTGGGCTTTCCAGCTAGCGACCGTTATTTAAAGGAGAGCCAGTATATTTATTTCTTAATTTTGCACTTAAAAAAATATGGATCATATTATACATGGGGGGGGGGGGGGGAGCGTCCTGTACACTGAAAAATACGGTAAGTTTCTGTCAAAACTGATATTACCTGTCAGCCAGTTCTCCTCTGTGTTCAGATCCTGAAGAATATCAGTATTTGTTCCTCTTTTATGTCTGTGGTATTTGAAGCATCTTCCTATAGCATATAAGTTCAGAAGCTGATTTTCTTTATTAGTGATTGTGTGTCTATGATTCACACCCATATGTTGCCGTGGGAAAGATGCATTTATTCATGATTTGCTCTGTAAGGTGTATGTTGATGTTGCACTGTAGGGTGTTCATACTGTGGCACGGTGATATAGATCACAGGTGTGAGAGAAAGGGAAGGCTGTTGTGATGTGTATAAGGAGTTACTGCACACCTCACCTCAGTCACCAGCCGGCTCTTGGATGGTTTGACGGATCGTCAAGCAAGACTCTTGCTGCGTCCACGTCGTATGCCATGGATAATGGCTCATCTCTTCATCTCTGTGACCTGAATCGAGCTGGCAGGGGATCTCGGGGTTGGTGGCCTCCGTGGGTATTTCTGTAAGGGTGTGTGGTAATCTCACATTAGAAGTATTATTGATCAGTTTTTTTTCTCACTGTATTTCTTTTCCATAATAATCTTAGGTGCTCATTTTTAAATATTTATACAGCAGTCTTGATAAAGTAGGGTACAGGTATCAAAGTGAGAAAACAAAAGGCCAGAAGTGAGTTCATAGAACTATGAAATTTGTGGAAGCCAAAAGAAATTAAATTTAGTACCAGCTTGTGTAATGAATGAAGTGGTGCTGTGTGGATCAGAAGAATTGAAAGTAACTAAAATAGTTACTTACTTATAAACTACATTCTTCAACTGGTGTCTCTGCTAAACAGTATCAAAATAGCATGATAAAATTTACAAAGATAATTGTATACCAGTAGATCAAGAGACGAGTTAAAGACATTCTTACTGGATGTGACACACATTAAGATGACATGTTAATAACACAGCTAGAATGTTCTTCCTGCGGAACTCACAGCATCTAAAAAACATATGGATCAGAGAATAAAAGAGAGGGATAAACAATGTGAAAGGGACATGGAAGAAGTTGGAGGAGACAGCAAAGAATATGTTGGCATGGAGTGAGGTTGTTGAAGGCATGTGCTGTTTTGGTGGATAAAATGCGTGTTGATATTATTTGCTTCCTTTGTTTGTTCCAGTTAACTGATGATCACCGGTAATCTTTCTTTTCTATTATTTCATCTTTTCGTACAGAGTCAAGAAAAACTTGCAAGTCAGTGGTGTCTGTGATCAAATCATCAAACCTCTCTGTAAAAGAGCAGTGGGTCCTTCATCAAAAAAATACCAGAGAAGACAGTAAGAAAACAGATGCAGACATGGATAGCAGCGAAGAAGATAACACCGAAGATGCTCATGGAAACTTGATGGATTCTGATTGTGAAGCTGAAATGTCTGATGCACTTGAAGAACCTGAAAAGAAGAAAATAAAATTGTGATTTTAAAAACAAATATTAGTGGTTTTCTGTTTCCATTGGAAGCAAAGAATATGTTAGTAGTTTTATTACTTGTCATAATATTGTACAGGAGACGAAGTCCCTAAGACATTTTCATATTTTAAACCAACTCCCGCGACAGCACTAATGCCTTGGTCAATGTCGGTGATTTGGAGAGGGGGAACCTTCTACAGGGCAACAGCTGACTTTCCACATTCTGTTGCCCAAGCTAGTGCACAGTAACTAGCGGCACTGTCAGGCACCTGCCCAGCGGCACAAAATGGGACTCAGATAGGCCTACCACTGTTACGATATGGTTTGGTTTGGCATTCACTTAGCGTATATAATGTTTGTGGGAGGTTGTGTTGTCGTGTCTATTTCAGGCACCGCAAGCACTGCAGGCACGGCGATTCTTGAGTATCGAAACTGGGCTATTTTTGTATTTTTATGTTGGTTGGTGGTGTCTTTCCCCGAGAGAAAGCACTGACAAGAAATGTAGGAATAGAAAAGTATGACTGTTTCGATTAGGGCTGTACCGAATATTCGCTTCGTATTCGCTTCGGGGCCGAATAGTGGACCTAATAGCTATTCGGTATTCGGCCGAATAGTGGCGGTCGGGCCGAATACGAATGGTGATTTCTGCATACACTGCGATGGACTGAAATAACTCTCTCATTAATAATGTCACAATTTATAGCTGACTTTTCTTGATTTTCGCCGCGGCACCCCTGGCATACGCACCCAGTTTTAGAACCTCTGCTGTAATGCCTAGGAGTCAGCAGGTGCTGTTACCACGCAGCCGGGTCGCAGTTTTCCCCGCTACGACAGATTTAGGCAACGCTACTGTTGTGTTAAAGAAGGCATGAAGAAACTTGAAAGTGTATCTGTGTGTGTGAGAGAAAGATAGAGCATGCCTTTTTTCGTTCTTTCGGGGTGTCTTTTCCCAAATCAAATTGAAGATATGCGAACGAGAATATGGAGGTGCATTTAAATTACATTGAACGAACGCCTGAACGAACGATGATTTAAATGCGAATTTGGCAAACAAAATAGGACAGGCAAAAACTGCATTTAAAAAAAAAAAGAACATCTTATGCAATATATATTTGTCTTGCTTGCTACATACATCCAGTTTTAACATATGGCTATGAGTCCTGGACAATCGGTAGCCAGGCCAAACAATTTTTTGAGGCCTCAGAGAGGTGATTTTACAGAACAATGCTTAAAATACCTTGGACAGCCTAAAAAAAAGCAACCATTAGGTTTTGAAAGAGGCGTGAGCCTGAAGACAACTAATCGCAGATATCAGAAGGAGACAGTCATCATTTTTCGGCCATCTTATAAGGAGAGTGAAAATGGAACATGTGGTGACCACTGGAAAGATTTGTGGAAGGAGAGATAGAAAAATACAACGAGAGAAGATTCTTGACAGTCTTATTGCATGTCATGGAGGTGTGTCAGCACAAGAACTGATACATGCTGCAGGAGATCGCAGATTGTGGCGAGGCAAAATCGCCAACACCAGTCGACAAGGCACCTGATGATGATGATACACTATTCGTATTCGGCCGAATAGTTGGTCCCACTATTCGTATTCGGCCGAATAGTGAAAATAACTATTCGGTACAGTCCTAGTTTCGATACTCTTGAACCATCACGCAGCTAGCAGAACGTGAAAATAATCCTGCAAGCGAGCGACGAGAAATGAGGGAACAGTTAAAGCATTGATAATAAGGAAAACATGACACCCCAGCAACATAGGAGAAGTCCTGCGACCCGATGAGGCATGAATGGCAAGGGAAGTCGCTCTCTTTCTGGGCCAGAAAATGTGGAACGTACCGAAAAAGAAATTGTGTATGTTTAGAACTGACATCAGTGTAGTCAAATCTACACCCATATATTTTTCTATGAGGAGACGAGTGTATCTATCCCAAGTACACCAATTGTATACAGTGTAGTCCTACGCTGACATGCATTAGTACACCCGCTTCTTGTCGGTTTTGAGAAAATCAGGTTAGCATACGAAAAGTGTTCAGCACAGGTGCCGGAACCTCAAGACTCAGTTATCTCAAGGCCTTCCCTCCCCTCCCCGTTTTTTTTTTCAGGGTAGGGGAGGGAGCTCAGTCAGCATGCAAAACCTTGTATCTGTCATATATGGACAAGTATGTGTCGCATAAACACAGGTGGCGTGTCTCGAGTACGTCACAGAATGACTCGAGCGGTTTCATTTTGCATGCGTTCCAGCTGCTCTGTTTAATGACTGCGTAGCAGTCCCCAGCCATACTCTTATCATCGAAATAATCAGTTGCTGTTTAAGTGTATACAGCATTTTCTGTTCCATGTTCGCTACCATCACTTTGAAAGCAGTGAGGCTTTTCCCTACCTTTGAAACTACCTCTTCCGCGTGGTGTTTCTTCTTTTCATTTGCCCAAGTGACATAGATGCGTTATGCCATACGATAGTCTACAACCACGTTTACTACAAGATGGACTGAGCTCCAGGCTGGGATAGCAATGGGATGTACGATTTTGCCAATACTATTCATAATAACCATGCAGGTCATGTTAGACTGGGCTGCCGGCTATGGTGTCAACATGGCAAAGTGGTCTGCGACCACTGACCTGACATGTCCTCTGCAGAGCTAAGCAGACGCTCAAGCACTTATTGTCCGCGTACAGAAAAGCCCTAGGCCAGGGACGATATACTTGGCGTCACAAAAAAGTCCTGAAAGAGTTAGCGGACAATTTGGACCAAGCCAGGATAAGGGCCAGTTCGAGGGCCAGTCCTATGGTCGCCTAATGCTTCCTCAAGGCTGGGCAGATTTCTAAAGGCAAAGTCAGCAAGGTCGCATACGCTCCATTAATACTTGACTGTGCGAGGGACTGGTCACTGGCTGTTGACCTGCCTGGTTTCAAAAAATGCCCAGTCAATCCTGAAGACTGGCCTGACACCGGACATAGTTCTGCACTCTACGGAAAAATGCCAGCTAGTCCTGATAAAGCTTCCACATAAAATATGCTAAAGCAACTGGGCTTGAGAGAAATGAGCGTATACGGGCACTAAAACAGCTAGGCGATGCAGTAGAAAGGGCTTCAAGCTAGCTATGGGTGCAATGGAATGTCGTGGGGGATGGGCCTCGCTAGACTGGTCAGAGTTCCTAGTGGAAAGGAGCTTCTTATTTCTTGAAGCTCCCCCAAGAATAGACCCACTGCCTACCCAAAAGCATGTCGTAAGAGTCGACTAATTGGGAGCCTCCTTAGAAGTCTGAGTGCATCTGCTTGAGAGACAAGGAGTCAGCAGTCTGCATACAAATGAGTCGGATTAGTAAAAAGGATGCACATGCAACACTCAGGTTCTGGAACAGAACTGCAGTCCAAAAGTGGATGAACAACCAGAACTTTCCGTCAAAGTTTACAGCTGGTGAACATAAAGAAAGAAGAATTCCTAAAACAAAGTGTCCGATAAAAGTCTGCCAGTGTCTCTCTGTCAAATGCCAAAGTCTAACACCTGTCCGATAAACTAACTATAAACTTGTAATTCTGGTCGTTAAGGTAGTCGACTGATCTAATTTGCTACCGCAGAGACAACACCTGTCTCACAGTACCTGTTGTAATGTCACCATATCGTCTTGTCCCTGTCCGAAAGTGCAGCAGGGGAAGATCGAGGCCTGGAATCATGACCAAGGTCGGGCCCACCTTCTGAGATTGTATAGGAAGTAATGGGCCGAAACAATCGTCGACGATGGATCTTTCTAATGATGATCAATGAACCCCTTCTATGCATGCTCCCTGTGGATTTATTATTATTATGCTGAATCTTAGTAGTCAGTGATACACAGACAGTAGTTTGGGCAGCATGACACATCCTGAAACTTATTATTGAACTTGACTGGGCATAATCTTGTACTTGTTCGTATGATGGAATTTCGCCCTTATGATTATTTTCATAACAAAGTGACCTGTGTTAATGTCTCTACTGTTTTTGTTTGTTATTATGCTGTAATCGAACACCGTGGCTAACTTTTCTTCTTAATAGTGGCAATAACGGTTCTTTACAAGCTTCTTAAATTTAGCCACTTTAGTGATTACGATCTATCAGTTCTTGAAATGCGTATTTCTTTATTTATTGTTTACGTAAGATTTGTTTCTGTGTCATTGCGTACGTAAAGACAGTGGACACAAACAGTCGTATTATGAACATTTAAAAATAGCAACATTTCAAAAGATTTGTCGCCTTCATCTTCATCTCCAAAATCATTCTTTATATATAAGTACATGGAGATTTGAAACCAGACATGTGTACATAAACTGCAGAATAGAGCAGCCGAGGACTCTTTTACATCTGAGTTATCACGCGGAGAAGACACACAGTGATGATGATAAAGATGATCTGCACTTTAATAATAAATATCAAAGAGAAGCAGGTTTGAACTCTACCTTCACCTTTGTCCTTTGGCCTTCACCTTTTCAGTGAGCAACAACGCACCGCTTCCAACAATGGACGACTGCATGGTCTCAGCTTTGAGATAGCTACCGCTGTCATCAAATATTCCACCATGGGCGAGCAGCTGTTGATCGCCATTTGTTCTTTATTATTTTTTCCTGTTGTTTTTGTTATTACAGTTGTAATCGTTCTCGCAACGAGTGGGACATCGTTCGGCATTCGAGAAATGTATGTGGGAATATTGCTCAAGATCTTCGAGGTTTGTTTGTAGTAGTCCACTCCACGCCATATATTTTCTTGATTACATTACCAGTATTTATTTATCGAAATGATTTTGAAATGTCTTACTTTGTCTGTAACAGCAGTTAAAGTAATATATTATTTAAGGTTCACTTTCTAAATCATATTTCGCTTCTCACTGACTTATAACAAATAAATATTGAAATATCAGCAACGGCACTGTATGTTTAGTATTTTGACTAAACACCCTAATACTAAACTTTAGTATTAATAGTATTACCACCCAACATGAGTGCTACGTGATTATTTTTTTATGTTTTCAAAATTAACTTTTTTTTTTTTAAATTAAGAAAACGTATTATAATGAAGCTATATTAACCCTTTTAGCACGGGAAGTTTTTCAGAGGTCTAGCCAAAAACACGGAGCATTTTTTCAGTGAATTTGGTTATTACTTTATTTAATTTTTTTGACATATTTCTGTTATTCTGACCCCTATGAAATAATATATCTATTTGAAGGATATAGATTGAAGTTCGTGATTTTTACAATATCGTTAAAATTAATTGATGTATATGCAAATTATCTCATTTGCATATCTAAAAATAGAAAATTTGAATTTGAATTTTCAACTTCAATGCTTGAAACATAAAACTAAAAACAAAAATTTTTATTATTTGAAATCTTTTTATTGATCTTTGGCCTTTTTACAAATGTTGTAAGCAATTCAATAGTCAAAAACAGGTATATATATGTGAAACAGCAATAATATCTTTAGGTGACATGTGTTTTTCACCATCAGTCAGCACTATAAATGGATGTGCCGGAGTGTCAACACCTTCGGGTGGATATACCCTGAGCCATGGTTGGGCTTTGGTCTGAACACAACAGCGTCCCCATCTGATTCCCACTATAACTACTAACACTAAATCCTGCATCAGTATCAACAGAATTAGTGTCAACACTTGATTCAAATGTTTTATCAACATCAAGTTTAGGGGCAGAAACATACGAGTCAGACATACTTTTAGCGGTTCAGGTCACTATCTAAAAAATTCAACAACAATTTTCACTTCGATACCAAACACTCGAAAGTCGCCATGTGTAAAGCTGATACTGCAGTTAATATAAATGAATCACTTTCAGTGTTTCAAAGTAGGAGATTTCTTAGCGGTTCGAGGCGAAACACGATCGGGCCGATCATCGGCCGTTCCGTGTTTTTGGCAAGACATCCGCCGGCCGATAATTGGCCCGTCCTTGCTAAGAGGGTTAATAAAGATATAATTTAACAATTACAAAAGAGCCCCCTCTAAAGGAAAACGTTAGTGTAATTTAATATTGGGTCCTACAATCAGGCTTTCCTTCTCAATGATCCTGGTGTATTATTATTATTATTATTAAAGTGTGCCTCAATTTTGCTTAATATTGATATCCGATCGTGCATGACTAATTTACACAAGTAATCCATGTTCTGATTCTAGCATGGAAGACACTTTATTCTTTAAAAAAAGTTAATTTCAAGTCGTTTAAAAAAAAAAAAACTTTCTATGAACTATAATAAGATATGATGAATGTATGTATGCATTTCATTTATTGATTAATTTCCGAATGATTTCCTAAAGGATTACAAGCATCTAGAGAGATATTTCTTAAATTATTGTAATTATCAGTATCATTTTAGTTACAGTATACTTTCACCTAGCATCTCACAAAAGCAATCAAATACAGAGAAGAGATTTTGATAAGGCAACTCAGAATAAAGAGATGGTAATTTAAGGAAGTTAACAGACGCAGGTCAAATCTTGGCTATCCTCCGACTAACAGTCGGCAAAGATGGCGGTCGCAAAATATCTTTTCGAGCCACAGCCGCGTGTCAGATGCGCACGGTCACGAGCACACCGCGGCTGCTCGTGGGGCCTAGCCATCTAGTTTAGCCCCATTCAACGCCGGGTGAGCTCGAAAGGATATTCTGCGGCCGCCATCTTTGTCGACCGTTAGTCGGAGGATAGCCCAAATCTTTATAAAAAGATGAGATATTCTAATTTAAAAAAAAAAGAGTTGTAGGGAAGAAAGTTGAATGTAAGTTTGGATTGGATATAGAAATTATATGGGGTGGGACTATATCAAGAGATGGATATCAGTATGAGGCTATTCGAATAGCGGTCCTAAATGATTGAGGCTAAGAAAAACCCTAGCACTAGAATACAGGCAACTAGAAAATCTAATTGAGTCTTTGCACATTTGGATAAACAGAACAGGTTGTATTTCATGGAAGCAGAAACAGTAAAAAACAGATGTTTTGGAGAGACTTCAAATGAAAAGAAAGTTATAACAAGAATAAAACAAAGAGACAAATTTAAATATTTCTGTCACGTTAAAAGACCACACTTTTAAAAACTATACCAGAGGCAGATGTCAAACGCAAGAGGTAGACAATGTTATTGTTATATTTTCACTAGTACTTCACTCACCTTTTTTCTTTCTCTTCAACTTTTTACTGGGATCTTCTTCCCCTTCTGCTGTATTCACCCCTAAAATGGTGGTTGACATTCAGTGTTGTGGTTAAAAACTATAATGCAATATCCACACCTTTCATCCCAACTCATCTGACTTGAGCAAACCTCTAATAATTTTTATATCTAGCTTATTAGTGGGTGTGGTCTTCTGCCGTCAAAATACACACAGGGTTACTGGTAACTTGTACAAGTTATTTATACTCTTTTGTTTAAGAGTTGATTCAAGAACCGACGTCACAGCACTCGGGGCATTCCCATAAGTGCTCTATCCCAATTTTCAGCAGCCATTGCAGAGTTCCAATACCAATAGTGCCAGTAGCATCCTGATTATATGTCCGTCTTCCCTTTCCTCAGAGCCTCGAGTATTGGCCAGAACCCCTCGTCACTCCCTGCTGCATCAATCTAACCAGACACCGGTGATCCATTTGCTTCTCCGAATTGTACTCCCTCAAGGCCCCAACCATGTCTGTTTATATATTCCCCCTTGTAAAAACATTAACAGTATACTTAGTTATTAAACACAAAGAACATCATGTGTTGAAAACTGTGGATACTTTTCAGCATTAAACATCATAGTGATTTAGAAATGGAGAAGAAAAAATAGAAGAGGAAGGTATGATTCACGGAAAAGAATCGAGTGTCTTCCAGCATGAAAATGGACACAGAACATTGAAGGCATTTTGCATGAAAATATGCCAAGGAAAGGATCTGGCATCATCATCTGATGATGATGTTTACCTGGTTATTATTTTACAGAAAATCTTCTCTTTTTCTGCACTCCAGCACCTTGAGGGAGGAGAGTCCCTCAACCAGCTGATATCTTTCTATCTTTTACCTTCTTCTGTAGCTCACTCCACATACTTCCCATCATATTCACTTCACCAGTTCTCTTCTCTGTGTGCATTTTGTTTTGTTTGTGGTCTCCATTTTATTTCCTTGATCTTGTGGGTTCCAGTGCAGGACCATTCTTGTAATACTGTTATCAAATTTTCTTGTGTTCTATTCTATCTTTTTCCACACTTCTCAATTCACAGGTGGTTCAGTTCTTTCTGTCAGTTTTACATGAGTGGTTCTGTTACATCGTTAAATTCCTTCTCTTGAAATTTTAAAAGTTAAGACACTAAATTCATAGACATTTCTATGCTTTTGTTTGTCTGTTATTAAGAAAAAAATTCTTGCCTCATCAGAAATTACAGCACGTTTACTGTCACATTTGCTTTTTATTCCATCATATTATGTGAATCCAAGTATGCTTTTATAATCTTGTTGATGCTATCGGTATACAGTGTAAATAATTTTATGAATCTTTGTCTATATTTATTTTTCAAGAAATATTAATGATTAAGAAAAAACAATTAAAATGTATTTCAGGCATGCAAAGTTAAGGTGCAGGTCAAAAAGCGTTCAGATGAAGATGATAGTGATAGTGATGAAGAAAATGGTGAGAAAAAGGCAAATGGTTACAAGCAGGATGAAAAATTGGAGAATGGTAAGTGAATTATAAAGTTTTTTTTTTCTAGAATTATACAATCATGTTTTCTTTAAATGTTTGAAATTTCAAAGACAGAGTTGATTCATTCAGTCTTTTTTGGGTTACCATGGATAACATTAAGTCACATTGTATGCAAATGCTGACAGTTATGCAAACACAATCCATTTGCTACTTTTGAGGGAAGCAGAGAATAACAACAGCATTACCCAGCATGCTAATCAATAATGGCAGCAAGGGAGAAGTAGATATAAGAGTGGCTGATTGTCACAAAAGAAATCTTTCTGTAAAATGAAAGCAAACATGACCAAGTTTACCAAGAGCTTGGAGAAAGAAACCACTGGTGTATAATTGTGTCTGCATTATATCAAGATAATGAACCTGCATATCAACCCACACACACTGGGCTGTAAGTGTACTATATGGCTATACGGTTGAACAGGGTTTCTAGGATTTGTTGCTGCTTGATTCTCATCCTTAGGAAGTTTATCCTACTGATTGTAAATCTTGCCGCAGAAAACTTGAAAAAAAAATGTTTTTTTTTTAAAGGTAGGATATATGGCACTGGCAAAGGATAGGAAGACTTGATGTGAGCTGGTTGATGCAATTGCTCCATTTGGGAGAATAAGGCTAAAGTAAAATAATAACTTCATAGATTTTGCAGCAAACTTTGTTAACCATAATGCAGGCTAAGAGATTATGATGTCAGTTTTACTTTGGTTTTTATAATGTTAGCAAAACACTATTTAAATGTGCCTCTCTCCATGTGGGTTCCGCGGACCTATTTTGAGGGAGGTTGGGGGGAGAAAAGTCACTGCCCCCTAACAAGCATGTCATAAAAGGCAACTGATTAGTGGGTTTTCTTTCAAAGTTGGAGTGCTGCTGCCTGAGGAACCAACAGTCTGCATACAAATAACAGATCTGTAAAATGGTATGTGGCTAGATGTGCACATACACTCAGGCTTTGAAACAAGAAGTAGATGAATAACCAGGACTTTCCACTGTTTACAACTGGTGAACGCAAAGAAGAAGAAGAGAATTGTGGCTTAATTTGTATTATTATTTTGAGTGTCAGAATGAATAATTCAAAGAATGAAAGCCATATTACTTTTATTTCCTCTCAACAGATGATCAGATTATTGAAAAAGATTTCACCATATCAGCAACGAAAGGTCTGGAGAGACCAGACTGGTTACATTTCAAAAAAGAATTTGAGTTGTCTGATATATTCTACTTTTCCAAATGTGGAATGGAGGTAAATATTTTTGGTAATATATCATTGTTATTCTGAAATTGTGAAGGAAAGTCGGCAGTTTTGCTTGTGAAAATAGAAACTCGATACCCTGTAGTCTATATCTTATTAATAATAATTGACATTGAATAATCACCAACTGGTTTTGAAGCTTCATCAGTGCTGTCTGTCCTCTGCTGCTCAAGATGCAGAGGGACCCAACCACATGTGGTGGAACATCAAGACCAGGGGCATACTAGTCACGACCTGTCTACACCTCTCTGCCATCGTCCCAGAAACAGATTCTTTACCGGGGACCTAGTTTTCTTCAAAATTGGAGTTATCTGTCCGAAAAACGTTTGTGCACATATAAGCCAGATTTATAAAACAGATGTGCATGCAACACTCAAGACTGGAACGAAGCAAAAGTCCTGAACAGCCAGGACTTTCTGCTGAAGTTTACATCTGGTGAACACGAAGAAGAACTTACAAAGCAAGTTTAAAATCTCCCCTTGTGACCTTCTCCTTAAGAGAAGCAGAGAATAGTATCAGTGTAACCCTGCGCTTCTAAGAGGCACTTAATGAAGGTTGGTGTGGGACTGCCTAATCTCTCCTGTAAATCAGCAATCTGCAAAATTTAACTCACCGTGAATGAGCGAGTCTAAAGATAGGAGGTCTTGGTGTGAATTGATTGAGTATATGTCCTCCATTTACTCTTGTTATACCAAGCAACTCACCTTGTAATTCTTGATCACTTGAAATATGGTGTGCTTTTCTTGCATTCTTCTGTAACTGGTAACTGCTACATTAACTCACTGTCTCAAGATTGTTAGTTTAACTTCTCTGTCTCATCGTGTCTCTTGTGTAACTCCTTCACATTTAAACATTTAATTCTTTCTATTATTCTTCTTTTTCTTGTTTTCTCTACTCCTGGAATGCCTTGCCTGTTTGGGGAGGAAGAGATCTCTAGAACAGGCCCTTCTGTTCGCTTCATTTAAAGTACATTTCAGTGTCTGATATTTCAGTGGTCCATATTCTGCCTGGTCAACCACTAGATCTGTTACCAATGCATCGGTATAGCATTGCTCTCTGTGGTGCCCTGTCTGATGCCGGTCTTGTTAGATGGCCAAACAAATTTGATTTGTTGTCTACCTTTAAAGTTCAGTAATGGTTCTGTGCCGACTCTTCTCAAGTATGCATTCTTATATATTTTTTTTCAACAAAAGACAGACAATGCCAACCTCTTTGTACACACAACAAATGATAAGGAATGCTAACCTCTTTAGACACACAACTCATGACAGACTTCCGGTCAAAATGGACGCTAGGCACAGTTACTGTTGTAAGCCATGACAAAATGTTTTGCTCTGCCAGATGGTGGCTGGTGCATTTTTGCTCCATTTGTAGACTAGAAGGATAGTTTTGTCACCCAGCTTCTGAGTTGAGTGCAAGGCATGACACTGTGAGCTGCTGATTTAATTTGGAATGCTTTTCTACTGTGACCAGCGTGGTGATGTGAATTGTAGATTCAGAAAATGGTGTGGTACCTGTTGTCGCAATATTGGTGGTGCCATTATGTGATTAAAATTGATCGCATGTGCAACTGCTGATCTGTTGGTGACTTCTGCTACCATCTATGATGAACTGCATTTCTAATGTCGGACTGTTTGTGTTAGCACTTCGGATGGCTACCGTATGCTTTTAATGCGTGTGTATGCTAGTGCATATGCTTAGACAGCAGTCTGCCAATCTTTCCACAAGGGACTGATAAACATTCTGTGAGTTTTTAGTTGGCACAGGAGCTGAGCATCTTTTGGGTGACCCGTTTGCTATGAAGCTAAAACTAAGATTACCAGAATACCAGATTCTTAGAATAGAACAAGTTTAAGTTACAACTGTCTGTGCAAGCAGTTCAAAATGATGACAAAGCAGTAATTAAACTCTTTAAATCTATGGACACTTTCTCAATCATAATACCACTAAAAGGTTTTTGCCTGTCTGGCAAAGCCATTCAGGTATTTATTTCTTTGCTTCCCCTATCTTTCTGGCAAATGTTATCAAAGTAAGACGATGGAGATGGCTTGGACATGTTTGCAGAATGCCTTGTGACACTCTGGCAATAACAGCTCTCCGGTGGACAGCAGATGGGGAAAGGAGACGTGGACGACCTAAGGAAACCTGGAGAAGGACAATATAACGGGAAATAAAGGAATATTAACTGACATGGGATACCATGGGTAGAAAAGCAGCAGACCGGCAGCAATGGAGATCACTTGTGAATGCCTTATGTGTCAACAGCGACATGAAGAGATACAGATTCCCCTATCTTTGTACCATTATTTTATTTTTATTTTTTGTTTGTTTTACAGGCAATTATTGATGATACTGTGACAAAACGCTTTTCTGCTGAAGGTAAGTGGTTCATACTGCTTGTTTAATGTCATTATGGTCATGTGTTGACTAAAGGAAAAATATACGACAGCTAGAATATCGGCCATAAAAAAAAGCAGTGGTAGACATTGCGCATTTGGTAGTACAAAGCAAATGTCTCTTAACTCTTTGAGTCCCAGGGGGTTTAGCATCACAGGCCTAGGGGGTAGTAAAGAGAGTAATAAAATTGGCACATCGTGAGTTCTTTGGGCTTCTAGGTATGAACCTATGAACGTATGATGCGTTCCTTGGGACTCAAAGGGTTAAACAGAATTAAAAGTCTATGGTTAATTTAGGCACTAGCAAGGAAATCAGTGACAGTTTTGAGAGCATATATCTCTCGTGTAGCAACGCACAGATCTGAGTTGTAGATATCTCACAGTCATTGAGGAAGAGAGGCTTTTGAGGTGAAATTCTATAGAAAGATGATCAGAATACCATGGACAAAGAAAAAAAGAAATACAGACACATTAAAAGATCTGAACCTCAGGGAAGATTTTCTGGTCGCCAGCATCTTGTCTCAGAAATTGAAATATTTTGACCATATCAAGTGTCACGTGGGATTGTAAAACATAATAGCAGATGGCATGATAAAGGGGAAGAGGGACAGTGGCCGACCAAAATGAAGATGGGAACAGGCTATAAGTAACACTGTGGGTAGGAAAGTGCAAGAGGTGGGAAAGTTGGCTAGAGACCGAGTTTCTTTCAGGTAGGATGTTCTGCAAAAGAGCTGCTGCATGATGATGATCAAGAACCACTTCTGTGGGTGACAAAATGTTTAAAGCTTGCCTTGTTCAGGCAATTCCCTGCCTTGATACCCTTAAATGGAATCCTTCAGGGAACAGTGAGGGCAAGCCAAGTGAGTAAAAAAAAAAAAAGTAAAAAAAAAATACAAACAAAACTCCTGGACTGAGTATTATGTGGACAGAATGTACTTCTTCCACCTTGTGCCTGTTTCTGAAAACAAATAAGTGGACTGATTGCTGACGCCTTGATTGTTACACTCCAGTGACCCATGATCGTGTCAATAGAATATGATATAATGATTGTTTGGCTCTTTGCTTTAATGCCCAATAATAATTCCTACTATATGAAACTATATTTCTGCTGTTTTTAATATTAAAAGAATATTGTAATTTTTTTTTTTTAGAATTGCCATCTTGGAATTTGTTAACTAGAACACAGAAACCTCATCAGTTTATGAGGTAAGAAATTGTTTTAATCAATATTTTCTTTTATAAAAAGTTAAGTAAAGGATGAAGGCAAAAACTCAAGTTAAATTCAGGTAAATCTGTTATACGATGTTGTATTGAGAATGCTATGATAGGTCCATGTTTTTGATGATCAGTTCACATACCTGAGGTGATGGGATCAACTCACTTTAGGTCATTTTTTTTCTTCCAGAGGAATATGTTATATAATATTGAAGTGTCCATAGAGACTTGCTTCTCCTGGGTTACCAGACATTTAACCCCACATTGCTGTTTGTTAGCCGGTTCTCTAACTTATATTGCTGCCATGTCTTCTTCTGGGCATTATATTAAAAGCAATGAAAAAACATAAATGCAATGAAGAAAACAAAATAAGATAAGGTGTACAAACAGCTAAAGGAAACAATGTGAAAACTGTCAAGTTAATATTACTTTTAAGTTTTAAATCATTATAAACCTTTATCATGTTCTGCGGCATTAGTGATCATGTTATCAAGGCAAATTTCTATCCTATGTTCTTGATTATCACAACTAAAAATTGTCTGCCCTGTCACTCTATCAACCCATCCAGATTCTTTTCCACTGTCAGCCTTTTCCTTTAGCATCCTTAGTATCTCCCAGTTGTCACATCTTACTTCAGATACTCCATCTCGTAATGAAAAACAAAAATAGTTGCCTTGACCTTTTGTGGGTAATCCTCATCCTCATTGTAAAACAAGTTACATTGTACTATTTTTTCAAGCCTGGTGATGACTTCAGCAGGCATTCTTTTAAGTTTTCTTCTCAATGTATGTTACTGGCTCTGGACACAACGGAACGTCGTGGGGGTCGGGCCTCGGTGAGCTGGTGCGGGTGTCTAGTGGAAAAGAGTTTCTAATCCCTTAAAGTCCATCATGTCCGAATTATCTGCCAGTGTCCCTCTGCCACCTGCCAACAAAAGTCCAACATGTGTCCAGTAAACCAAACGTAAGCTTGCCACTTAGTCGTCCAGGTTTGCAAAGTCACCAATTCGTCTTGTCCCTGTCCGAATAATATCCAGTAATACGTGCAGCAGGAGAAACCGACCCTGAGCCTCATGAACTCAGGTGGGCCCACTCTCTAAAAATGTCTAGGAGCTCGTGGACCGAAACATTTGTCAACGAGAGAGATTACTTCTATTGATGATTGGTAGACTCCTGCTGTACATGCTTCCCTGTGGAGTTTCTTCTTACTGCATTATCTTCCTGTTCACATTCTGCCCCCTTAGTAAGTTTGTCTGTGTTTTCTTTTCCTGGTATATCAAAGTGGGATGGCACTCACTGGAATACAGAATGCTTTTGGGTATTGTGTGTGTTTGTGCCAAGTTCAGATCTCAGGTGTGAGAGTTTACCACTCTTGAGGGCTTGTAGCACCAAGAGCACATCTGTGAGGATGACCACTTGGTGGCAGTCAGAACTGGTGTTGCGTACAATTTCAGCAGCCTGTACTAGTGCTAGGATCTCTGCTGTGTAGTTGGAACAGAGTTTACCAGTGGGTCTACACTTTGTGTGGTGGTGGTTGTCTTTCTGTGTGATAAAGATGCCAGCACCACCATTTTTAACCACACTGGCTGCTGATCCATCCGATTAAACATGTATCCACGACTGTTCGGGATAGTTTTCCTGGATCATAATACTAAGAGCAGCTGATAATTTTTTAATATGATTGGACTCATCTCCAGCTGTGAGTCCACTGACTGAAGTCATTATCTGTATTGTGTCGTTGAGTTGCTCCCAAGGTACAGGGTATAGAGTAGGTTAAAGTGGTGTTGTTCTCATTGGTAGATCTGCTGATACTGTCATCTAAGTCATCTTCCCTGATGGACAAAGCTGCTACATTTGTGACATCCCAATGCCAGATCGACTCATCTTGCTTTCATTGGGTGTGACTGTATACTATTAAACTTCTCCATCAGGATTATAGTTTTAGTGTCCCTTCTACAGGAGCATTTGCCCTTAAAAGGGCAGTTGGCCTGTTGTAATGTTGTGGTTTGCAGCTAAGCTGTGAATATGTGCACTTTTTGGTCTGACATCCTCAATTTCAGCAAACCACTTTTCAGTCATCTTTTGTGTCATGCGTTTCTCAGCAGAAGAGAAATTGGCAAGAGGATGAAAATGGCTGTTTACTACCAAATCTGTGCCAGTCCTGACCTACAGGTGTGTCATGGGCAATGTCAACAGCTCACAGAAGCCAGCTTCAGGTCTCGGAAATGAGAAATCTGTGAAAGGTGGTCCAAGTGACAAAGTTTGCAATCAGACAGTACGTCAGATCTTGAAACCCAAGCCTTAAAAATTTGTGTAGATCAGTCACAGTTATGCTGGTTTAGACATATTTGCAGAATGGGAGGGAATCGGCCACTATGGGAGGCCAAGAACCGGGGAACCAGAACACAAGGGCGACCCAGGGTTCACTGGGAAGACAACATCCAACAATCCTTGACTGACAGAGGACTGGAATGGAAGAAAGCCAAAAAGAAAACTGCAGACAGAGAAGTCTGGCGATCTCTCTGACAAACATCTGCAGCCCAAGGTAGAAGAGGAGTAAGTCACGACATGCTTTGAGGGACAATGGATCTGTTCTTTTTTCCCTCCAGAATAAAGTCCTGGAACCCACTCTGGTACATTGAAACAGTTTAAACTAGTTAATAATGTTGATTACCAGTCTGATTATGATTAAACTTTTTTTTTTTTTTTTACTCTTCCAGTGTACGTTTAACAGCATTGTGGTGTGTGGGTTGTTTTGTACGTTATGTCATTCTGCTGCCATTCAGGTAATAAGCTATTTTTAAACACTTTAATTGTTATTCAGTTGATTGGTATTTGGGAGCTAACAAACATTTTTTATGTGTACGTAGTTTGTAAATTTCAGTACAGTATTCATTCTCATTAAATACATTTGAATTAGATTTGTTAGCATTTGGTACTGCTCACACTCTCTGGCACTATTAGGGTAGACACAGAAGGTCACTAAAGAGGTACATATAGAAATTACTAAATGTGGTAAACATTAAAAGCCAATAGTGCTGTCTAGACGTTAACAAAAGGTGTCTAAAATGATGATTTTCATTAAAGGGGAAGAAAGTCCAACGGTTGACATTTATACATATATATAAGAAACAAATTGAAAACAGGTATTGAAAACATGTACCCTGGCCAGACAGTGACAGAGTATAGCATAACCATATGTACACAAAATTCAAGATAGGCCTATCAGCCATGTGGACCTCAGGAAAAGTGCACCAGACAGCAGAACATGTACTCCAGGACTGCACCGATTTTGTGACATTAAGGCAAACCTTTTGGGCATAAATAACAACAGTGGAGCGTAAACTCTATGGACCACTGAATGAATTAAAAACGGCGGTGAAATATATACTAAAGACTTATTTCAGGCAAACTAAAGAAGAAGAATCGCATATATGACTCAGAAGTCATAAAGAGAATCAGAATGGCAAAATATACATACAACAACCTCAGACCAATACTTCTTTCAAAGCAAATATTAATGATAAAGTGTTGAGGCTTAAAATCTGTGGCTTAAGCATGTTGAATGAGCTTCATAATTCTAAGATACCTGTTTCAATTACAGCAATAGGTGATTTGACAGCAGACTGCTTTGCTTTATTGTCGACAGTTCTATTGGGAGCTGACTGTTTGAAAGAACCGGCAAACTGCTGATCGTAAATTGCCTAGTAAATGAAACCAAACACCCAAACAATTCTGAGACTGGTTCTGGAGTGTTCTGTAAATGATATGCAACTTAGTTTTAATGCTCAGCAATGTTATCTGCAGTTGTAAAACAAATACACCAAGACTGTGAGAATGTATAATACATTTGAAGCCTTTAAAAATGTATCTCTTGATATGACTGTTGTATGTTCCCCAAATGAAGGGGGGAAAAAAGCACAAATAAAAAAGTTCTGTCATTGGTTCTGGACCTGGTGGAGCTGGACTTTTAAAAAACACTGATCTTGGCTGACCACATCACCCATCGAGTGCCAATTGGTCTATAAAATATAGGACTAGCCCTATATGCCCAAAATGCCTGAAGGTGTGAGAAAGGTTCCTTTACTTTTACTTTACTTTAAGGAAGGTTTAGAACAGCTCAGCATACAAATGGTGCTGCTGAAAAAATACAGTTAAGAAACATGAACTTTGCTCACATAAAACATTAAGCTAGCTTTTCGTTCTGTCTGGTCTTTCAAAGTCAGAGTGCATCTGCCTGAGAGGCAAGGAGCCAACAGTCTGCACACAATGTAGCCAGATCTGTAAATTGGATGTCTTTGCATCTAAGTCCTAAAAAGTTAAAAGGATTCAATGCTGTCAAGATTATGGCAGCAATGGACATGGAACAAGAATGTTGTTCACAATGTTCCAGCATGCGATCCTGTCATTGATATATTATGGACTTGGAATGCTTACCATATCAAAGAGTCGAACGCATACAGATTGAAGCCATGCGGGTATTTCTGGGATCTACAAGAGATACCCCTGTAGTATGTATGCGATATATACTTGCACTGCCTTAAATTGTGAAAATATTGGGGTGACTGCAGTCAAGCTAATACAAGGAATTCCAGAGAAATTTGACTAAAAAGCTCAACAAAATGGGGAAGCAGACAAACGGGCTCCCTCTATACGTCTATCCCTCACTCTGATGGTCTTAGGGCACTCCAGTTCTTTTTAGACAGAAGGTTCAACCCGATCATCCCTACTTCAGTTCTTGTATGCCTTGCCGAACTGGTACTGACCCTTAACTATTTTGAGTTCAATGGTGAGTATTTCGGCCAGATCAGTGGGGTCGCGATGGGCACCAAGATGGGTCCCAGTTACGCGTGCCTCTTTATGGGCCACCTGGAATACGAGGTCAGGAGTATCTGCGGACAAGAAGCACCTCCTGCATGAAGCCATGGGTAGAGCTAATGGTCACAGACTGAAAAGAGGAAGGTTTGATTGTGCAAGCTGAAGACACAATTGGACATGGCTTGATAAATATGAGCGAGGAGAGGAGTGGGTCAAGGTGTCTGAACAAGTTTCAGACTTGTGTAGGGTTCTAATCACTTTAGGTCGTGAGTACAGAGATTGGCCAGCTGGTGCTGCAGAATCAGAAGTTCAACAAATGATTCATGACGTGATGTGATTATCAATACAGATGGCTCTGTGTTGAAGGACAGACGAACGAAGTGCATGGGGTTTCATAGCAAAGTCCAACAGATGTCCCTTAGTGCAGCAAAGCCTTACATATGATATCACAATGTCTAGTTTAAGAATGGAGGTGGAGACAGTCTCTTCTGCTAGCTTGATATACTGGCATGTACACACATGCCGTGATTGTAAACTGACTCACAGATAATGTTGAGAAAGGGGAAGACAGGCATGCTTCATGCAGAGTGGCAAGCTACACTTCAGAGATCCCGGGTAGTTAGCATCCTTTGGATATTTTCTCCACGGTATACCGGTGTGTTGGGAAATGAGAAGGCTGATAGACTGGCTGGCTCAGCACCAGTTGGTGGGGCATTGATGTATGACAAGCTAGATATTGTGAGGGCCCTTTGGGAATGAGTGAACAGTGCAGATGTGCAGATAGTTTATTACGGTTTGAGGAGAATGATGCTGCAAGGAGTTACCAGGGGATGTGGCCGACCCTCAACACTCAGGGTAAAGATAAGATGGATATACAATCAGACGGCTACTGGTGCCATTGGAATTGGAACTCTTCGTTTACTCCTGAAGATGGGGGCACTTTTGGGAGTGTCCCGAGTGCTGTGATGTTGATTCTTTATTCAACATTAAGCAAAGTCCTAGAACAAGTTCAAAGTCCAGAAGTGGTCAAATAGCTAGGACCTTCTGCCAGAGTTTACAGCCGGTAAACATGAAGAAAACGAAGATTCTCTTAATTATTTGTGTGTGGTAAGTCAGCCAAGCTGTTACTGCATGTATTAGGATCATCTGGTTAATGGGATTTAACATCACTTGTGTTGTATGTTTTTGTTAGCTTTAGTTTCAGAGACATTTATCCTTTCAATCAACAGGCTAGTGATTGTATGTATATGGATTGTCTGGCTGGTGGTCTCAACAGCGTTTATTGGGTACTTGAAAGATGGCAGGTTTGTATACTTTCCTTTTTTATAATTGAGAATGAGTGTCTACAGTGCATGCATGAAATGGTATTAACAGTCTGTGCAGGATGAAAAGCTTCCATTTTATTTTACACGTGCTTGCGCGCACACACACACAGAGTAACCTGAACTCACTTAAGAAGACCACAGGGTTAATATGAACACATTGTGGCCCCAACAGGGATGAGTTATTATTAGTTTCCAGTCAGCACATATTTTTTTAATTTATGTTATCAGGTTTTTACTGTGTGAGTGTGAGTCGCAGTAGGTATGTAGCCAGATGTGTACCTGCCAACCCCAAGGTGTTGGGTTAGAATCTGCACTGGGACAGATTTCAAATAAATGACCTAGGCTCTCAGGTCAACCTGGTCTGAACTGGGTACCAGGGCATCTCCTGGGAAGTAAAGAAGACCCTCATGACATTGACATCATTACCAAAATGGGAACCTATTGGTCAATAAAATAATAAATCAAGCATCATATACTTCATGCATCTCTGGCCTGGGAAAGGTCTTTGACTCACATCCACTCAAGAGTTTGTTCATGGTTGGTTGGCCGTTACTGCTAAAATTATAACTGGAAAAATTAGCTGATCCCAGTCCCCACCCTACTGTTAGTTTCCTCTCAAACATACCTGGCTAGATTCAGTGTCCATATTCTTTGCTTCCCCTAAAGGCCCCGGTAACATATGGATGCATTACTTTTTGGTGACAAATTATTCAGAGTAAGATATGGAATGTCTGTGCTTGTATAGTGTTGAACATTTTTTTTTTTTACTCTAAGAGTTTTTGCTTTTAGCCTATTAGTTGTCTGTCAGCATATTTTACATCCATATGCCATGTGAAAAATGTAAAAGTGATGGCAAACCAGGTTGACAAGATCACATTTCATATTATCAAACAGTATAAGAGGTCATCTTTTGTTGCATTAACCATGTGCTGTTTTATGATAATTTCTGGAGTGCTGTTTACCTGTTTTGAAGATGAAATTCCAAAGATAATAAAGTGTATTGAATATGTTTTATGAATGTCACATGGGTTTAATCAGGAAAGGAATGTTAAAAAAAAAGAGAAAGCTATTATACATGTTATATTAGGCACACAAGGTGTTCAGTACACATATAATGTGTAGATAAAATGCTTCTCAAATAAATGCAACCATTTTGTATCCTAGTTAAAATTCTGAGAATTTGAAAAAAGATCTTCTTGTTTCATTTAAAAATAAATAAATTAGTGTGACATTAAATACGTCATATTTTCCTTAGATATCTTTGACCTATGATTTCTTATTAGCCTTCACAGGCTGTAGACTCCAGTAGAAAGTTCTGGTTGTTCTTGCATTTCTGGTCTTGTTCCAGAACTTGAGTTTTGCGTGCACATCCGTTTTACAGATATGGCTTATTTATGCACAGATTGTTAGTTCATTGCTTTTCAGGCAGATGCACTATGACTTCTAAGGAAACTCCACTAATTAGTTGCCTTTTATAACATGCTTCTGGGGGTGGGGGGAAAGGGGGGGGGGCAGTGGGTTTATTCTCCTCTTCAAAATGGGAACCTGCACCAGAAACCTGTGATTTGAGAGTGCCTAAGATTTTTCTACGTCTTTTCTGGTCACTGCATGGTTTGTTATGCGCCAAATGTGAGATTCTATGAATTTTGGTTCAGATCTCTGATGACTATTTGTTCATGGTGTGTGTCTGGACATTCTGCTCGGCTGGTCACCTAACCTGCATACCAGGCCGCCGACTTCCAAAGAGAATATTTAAATGCAGATTGCAACATGAGAAAAGATCCCACTTATCAATTAAATATTTTCCTATGTGGGTTCCGGAACCCCATTGGGGGGGGGTGTGGTAGACTGGATGTGCTGGGACGACAGGCGCAGATATCTCATAATAGCTGTAAACACAACACAGTGCGCCAACCACTCTTTTAAAGGCGAACACAGAAGTAGATGTTATACCGAAGGGCATAGATATCTCATCCAAGCTATGAACCACAATATAGTGCGCCAGCTACCCTTTTAAGGATGAATGAAGAAATTAATGACCTGGTTGTGCATTAAACTGCTAAGCTTTTGAAGCCCTTCGAGTAACCGTCAACAGATAGTCAGTTTTTAAGGTGTTACATCAAGAAATGAAGGAGTTATTACAGATATACTTGCCTAGGTTCTGTTACTTCTGTTTGAAGGTATCTTTTAATTTTGTTCTTGCCTTTTTTTTTTCAGCTTCAAGCTCAAAGTGTACAAAATTGCTAGTTTAATGTGCTTCAGAATTCTGTGTCGAGCTTTCTCAGGTGTCATCAGGTATCATAACAGGTAATATCCTTCTTGCTAGTTATTATAGAGAAAAATAATAGTTTGGTGTTCTTTCGTTAGAAAGTGACAGAACATTGTTTTTGGGGGGTGTAATCTGTGTGAATTCTTTCGGTCCCAGAAGGTTGTTGCAGCAGTTGAGAAAGGGTGAGCTAAGTAGCTAAAGAATCACAAGTGTGTTACAATCAGCAAAGGCTAACTACACAGTTGAGGTCATTCTTGTGGCTTTCATAAGTCGCATCATGGAAGAGGCTTGGGTCTTGCCAGGTGATATTCTCAAAGATGACAGTGGATACACTGCACCCACCCTTCAATGTCGAAATAAAACCCCTACAGAGATACATAGTTGAAGTAGCATTAGAGGAAGCCATGTTTCTTTAGTGTTGTTTAGCCAAATTAAAAAAAAAAAGAATAACTTATGCAGTGATTTGTCACATCAAACTTTGTTTGGGACTGAAAGAGTTGAAAAAAGTGCATGCTGACTTTGTCTTTAGATGTTGTAGTTGTTCAGTGGTCAGTCCACAGGTCTTTTTGACCCATTTTAAATCCCACTGAAGGAGGGATTCTTCTTTGTTTTGGGGGCAGTAATGTGGTTCTGAGGTCAACCAGAAATGTTCTCAAATTGGTGACTTGATTCGGACTACATACCTCCATCATGTGATGTTTGTAAAAAAAAAAAAAAAAATGTATATAAAAGGGCTGTAACACATTTGCCACACACACACAGACACAGACATATGATACAACACCAGCAAACAAATGAAAGTAACAGTTTTTTTTAAAAGAATATGGACTTTTTTGTGTGATCAGATATAGGTTGAAATAGGGGTTAATTTTACAGACCCTTAAGGAAAAATTGTACTTTTAGATTTGTCTGTTTTATTAAAGCTTTGGATGAAAAAGAAAAATACTGATATTTTAAGTTGCCTGGTAGTCTGAACATATAAAAAAATTGGTGCTCTCCCAATATCTCCTCCCAGGATGATGTCACAGGACAGTCCAGTAATTTCAAGGGTGGTAACAGCGGGTTTCCCTGCTTTCTGATGCTTTTAACTACCCCAAAAGATCTAGAACTAGGCCTAACCCCAACCCACCTAAGTCCTACGAGAGAGTCCAGCCTAGGTCTCACAACTGCATGTAGCCTAGTTCCCACAATTGCATGCAGCCTATCTACCACCCTCTAAAATATTCAGCTGTCTGTTTGAGGAGAGATATTGGGATAGAAATGAAAACTTGCCTTTAAACAGCATCACATGTTCCCGCTGTGTGTGTTCCAGGGCCCCATTGGGAGGGAGGGATGGGGGATAGGCACACCTCCACAAGCATGCTGTAAAAAGGCTGCCTAGCTGTAAACCACAACAATGTGCCGCCCGCCATTGTAAAGGGGAATGCAGAAGAAAAAGAAGCATGTCTTGTAAACTGAACTACTTTGGTCATATTAAACGTCACAATTATTTAGAAAGAAAAAAAATGATAATGGAAAGCTTGGATCCTGGAAGACATAATGGTGGACATGGGGCATTGAAAACACATGACAGTTAACAGGGCAGCGAAAAGCTAAAGATTGACAATCTTTGTGGCAGGTTGTGATGAGGTGAATATTGTACCGAGTACTTACTGCATGAAGGCTGTATGTGTACCTGCAATGTAAATTTAACCACTTCATTTGCTTTTATGCATTAAATCTGTATTTTTATTTCTGTATTTGGTTGCTTTTTCCCCCCTTTCCCAGAGAAAACATGGCAAAGAATGGAATCTGTGTTGCCAATCATACATCACCTGTGGATGTGGTCATACTATCATGTGACAACACGTATGCTCTCGTAAGTCATTTTGTGCCTCTCCAATGTCACTGTTGCTTGTATCCTTCCGCATAACTCAGGCCCAGGGTGTTCTGGATCAACTCTGTAGATATTTTTCCATCTTAGGCAATCCAGCATTTCTATTTCTGTCTTGTCTTTCGTATGGATGGTCAGCAGATTCTGTGTTACATACAGCAACAGTAACAACAAAAGCATCCACACAAAAATAAGTATAGAGTTGTAATACCATCTCATAATTACCTACTCTCATATAATTGTGTTTGTATAATGTTGTTTCTTGTGCTCACATAATTCATAGGTCTAGTTACCTACTCTGACATAATACTTTGTATAAATTAGTTCATGTTCACATTTCACATCATTCTTTGTGCACGTTGTTCAGTTTTCGATGCTCAGATAATTCAGTATGTTCAGTTTTAACTACTATAATGTTGTATGTATAATGTTCAGTTTCCTAGACTCGTATAATAAGTTTAAAAATATTCAGTTTACTCCTGTATTGTCCTCTTTGTCATGACATTACTGGCAGAGGTCTCTTTTGACACTATTTTTAACTGGCTATGGAATCTATGGGTAATAGATTGGGAGTGCCAAAAATGAGAGTAAGTCAGGCAAATCAAGTGGAAAATTGACGGGTGCTGGACAGGACACACATTGTGAAAAGCCTGCTAATAGAATAACTAAAAAGTTATTTCTCTTGAACCCATAGGATAAAATAAAAAATTATAAAATTTGGTGGTCAAACCTAGAAGCACATGCAGTAGAAAATTGCATTCATGATTATAGGGAGAATGTGGAGGGGGCTGCAGAGGAAGGCTAAAGATAAGATGACTTAGCATGCATTGGCATTCTCACCCACAGCTGAGAACCGCTAGTGTAGAATGAGCTAAATGCTTTGTTTTGTGCAAAGTGGCTTCTATAAGTGCTTGCACATTTTTTAAAAGGCAGATCGTAGCTGTTGCTTTGCATGAATGAAAGTTCACACGAGTTTAATAGGTTTGTATAACAATATTTACTGCATGGCTTTTCACAGATTGGTCAGGCACATGGCGGCCTGTTAGGGCTGATGCAGCGGTCACTTGGTCGGGCAACGTCTCACATCTGGTTTGAGAGGTCTGAGGCTAAAGACAGATGTCTAGTGGCCAAAAGGTGAATGCACTTTGTGCACATTAGCTGTTATAGTTAAAGTGAAGGAGATTATAGTAAATCCCACAAGATTTCAAAATTAATCTTCTGTCGGTAATTTATCTGATATAGTTAGGTAGGGGAGAGTTTAGCCATCTACTTGTTTAGAAATGAATCTTCTCTGACTGTTCCAGGTGAGACAGCTGAAAGTTTAGCCACACATTTTGAAATTTTTACTGTAGCACAACTCACAAGCTTTTGTAATAAATCTTCTCTATGTTATCTGGTCTAAATGGGGGGCAAAATTTATATGTTTTGAATTAAATTTTGATTATAGAAATCCTCGCATACATTGGAAATGAATTTTCTTTGTCTTTTTTGTTACCTGTGGGAGCCATGGTTGCGTAGTGGCCGGCCCCAAGGTCTAGATTTTTTTTAAAAACTGGCCAAGACTTGCAGGTCCAAGCCCGCCTAAATTGGCTGGGGAATAAAGGTGGCCAGTGTTCTGTTGCTCATATCACCCATCGAGTGCCGATGGTTTATATTAATATTATATGTTATCTGATCTAGGTTAGGATGGCTCATCTGTAACAAGCCTCTAAATTTTTTTTTGCTTTTTTGCTGTCTGATTTAGATAAAGAAGGAGAATAGTGTAGTAAACTTTGAGGTTTGGAAATCCATCTTTTCCTGGCTATACAGAGAATGTTGAAATGAGTTATATTATAAACAAATGAACAAGTTCTGCTTTCATTTCAGGACAGGTAAAAGTAATCCATCGTAACATCCAAAATATTTACATTCCAGGTTAAAGTCTCATATCGAAGATGAGAATAAACTGCCTGTGCTGATTTTTCCCGAAGGTGAGAAGATTTCTGTTAATTAGAATTAACTCGCTCTATACCCGTTGTAACGTTTTAGTGTGGCTCGCTGTGGCAGATAGTACCAGGGTATTCTTGTTATGTGTCCAAACCACTTCATTTGTTGTTCTTTGATGACCTGTAAGACTGGCTTTATTCCTAGCATTCGTCTGATTTCATGATTTCGTATTCTGTCTTTCCTTGAAACTCCTGCAGCTTTTCTAAGGCATTTCATCTCTGTTGTCACAATTTTACGTTCATTGGAGGATGTAAGTGTCCACATTTGGCATTGATAGCATAGTGTTGGCCAAAAAATAGTTCTTATAAGATTCACTTTAGTACTCCGAGGTATCTGCTTGTGTGTCAACAGGGGAGATAGTTGCCCGATTACTTGATAAGCTTTGGCACATCTAGAGCTAATTTCTCTGTCCAGTTTTTCGTCGGATGTAAAAATTGCTGCCAAATACTTAAATTCCTCTGTTTGCCTCAGGGTGTTGTTTTTTAATTTTATTTCTAAATTGTCTTTATGTCTTCCTATCATCATTGTCTCTGTCTTCGTAGTGTTTATTTTCATATTATATTTCTCCCCTTTGTTACTAATTTGATTTAGGTGGTTCTGAAATCATTCCGTATTTTCTGTTATGAGTACCTGGTTGTCGGCGAATAGTAATTCTCTAATATCTTCTTCATGATTAAAGTTCGTTTTGCTACACATGGTATCCATGTATGTTATAAAAGTTTTACTGTATAATATAGCATAAAAAGCGTGCTTGTTAAATCTTGAAAGAACTATGCTGCGATTAATATTGTATTGCTTTGAAAGAGCCACTATGCGTTACTTCTGCAAGAAGCAGCAGAGGATAGGAAGACCTGCAGTAGTTAAGAGCATATGCTAGCTGAAAACAAAACTATTGTGTCCAAAGATTAAATTCATGATATAAATTGCTGAATATCCAGCTTACATGCATTATAAAAAATCACTTTACCAAGATAGTTAGTCTTTCCTCTTGAGCCAAAGGCGGCACAGAGGGCAAAGGTCATAGCTCTCCTTGTCTGGCGGTTCGTTGCCACCTGATTTAGGTCTTGGATATTCATTAGCCCATAGTTAAGTCTTCCCTGATGATGGTTCTACGCAGAGTCTCTCTTGGTCTTCTCCATATTCTTTTCCCTTCCAGTGTCCATATGAGGGCTTGATGGGGGTGTCTTATCTTATCCATTCAATGTATTTCCAGCAGCGCTTTCTTATAAAATTGGATACATTTTCTTTCGTAGTCTCTTGTCTTATTTGCGTATTGGATCTGAATACCAAGATTTAATGCATAATTTCAAGGGAATGACACAAATTCTGGCAACTAAAGGAAAGAAAAGAATTGGAACTCTCTAGGCTGCCTTGCATGTTGTAAGAGGTATGTGAGGAACATTAGTGTAACAAAGGCTGCCTAATTTCTTAAAAAACCTTAACTGCAAAATACATTCAGCTGTAATGTCTACAAATAGCTTGGCATAAGTTGTTGAGAGTCAAGGCTCCTTTGTGAGAAATATGCTGAAAAGGATTTAACAACAATAATGAATTATGTAAGACTAATCATTAGTCAGATCATCAGTTACTAGAAGCAGATCTGAAATTAAAACTCAAAAAGCTTACCCGAGGACCAAGGCCATTTCGATTTGATCTCACAAAAATACCAGATGCATACAACGTAGAAGTGAAGAACCATTTTGAGGTCTTGATGTCTGTACAAGAGGAAATGACACCTGATGAACTGGCGGTACAAGCTAGGGATATCTTGATAACAGCAGCTAAAGACTTAATACCCACCAGGACTAAGCAACATAAACCATGGATCACACCATACACGTTAGAACTAATAAAACAACGAAGGGAACTGAAAAAGAAAGGAGAAACCAATGACAGTAGGATGAAGTATAAATTTTTAACACGAGAAATAAGAAAGTACACAAGAAAGGATAAAAATCAGTATGTACAAAATTGCTATATTAAAATAGAGCAGCATCATAAAAATGGAAGAGATTACGAAATGTTCAAGGAAATGAAGTTATTGACAAGAAATTTTCAACCTCAGTTAAATGTTATTTGTGACAGGTTGGGAAATACTTTAACAGAATCTAGACAAATTCTAGGAAGATGGCAGGAATACTGCAGCGGAATGTATGATATGAATGACAGTGAGGATATGAATGATATACATGAACCAGTAACAGTAGAGGCAGAACCTGAACCTTCATTAGATGAAATTTCATGGGCAATAAGGAGCCTGAAAAATGGTAAATCACCTGGATGTGATGAGATACCAGCTGAATTGATTAAAGCGGGAGGAGAAGAAAGCATAAAAATCTATCATGCATTATGTGAAAAGATATGGAAATATGGTATTTGGCCAAAAGACTGGAAGAGAACTATCTTCATTCCAATACCAAAAAAGGGTAACCTGAAATTATGAACAAACTATCGAACTATTGCCCTGATCAGTCATGCAAGTAAAATTCTACTAAAAATTATAATGAGAAGACTGCATAAGAAAATGGAAGAAGAGATTAATATAGCTCAGGCTGGATTTAGACAGGGAAGAGGAACAAGAGATCATATATTCAACATGCGTTTAATAATAGAGAAGTGTAGAAAATTTAATGTAAATCTGTTTTTATGTAATGTGGATTATTCAAAAGCATTTGACTGTGTACAACATCAGAAGCTTTGGGAAATCATGAGGTATATGGGCTTTCCACCACATATAGTGCAGCTCATTAAAATGCTCTATCAAGACCAACAAGCAGCAGTCAGAATAGATGGAGAGACATCAGACTGGTTTGGCATCAAGCAAGGAGTCCGTCAGGGATGTGTGCTGTCACCGTATTTGTTCAACCTGTATGCCGAAAATATAATGAGAAATGTAAGAGATGATATAAACAAGGAACAATATGATGCCCTAAACATCGGTGGTCATGAAATACCAGAAATTCGTTATGCTGATGATACAGTATTACTATCAACATCACAAAATGGTTTAGAAAACTTATTAACCCCACTCCAAAGAAATAGTGAAAATCATAACTTATTTCTTAACATAGCAAAACAAAGATAATGCATACAAAACAAAACTGCCATGGAGAAGGAAATATATGTTAATGAGGAAAGATTGGAAGTGGTGGAAAATTTCGAATATCTTGGGTCACTGGTTACCAACAATGGTGACACAATGAAAGAAATTAAACGGCGACTATCAATTGCTCTTCAAAGACTAAAACAACTGAATAAATTATGGAATTGTACTGATAGAATTACAAAGGTCAGATTTTTAAGAGCATGCATCTTTCCCATTGCAACATACGCCTGTGAGACCTGGACACTTACTAAACAAGCGGAACAGCGCATAAATGCATTTGAATATAAATGTTACAGACAGGTTCTAAGAATATCTTGGGTAAAGAAAAGAACAAATGCATCCATACTTCAAGAGCTGAATATTGAAGAGGGTTGGCTAGTAAAGACAATAAAACAAAGAAAATTGAAATATTTTGGTCACTTGAAACGTCATGGAAGTCTAGAGAGAACAATAATGGAGGGGTATATGCCTGGGAAGAGAGGAAGAGGAAGGCCAAGGAGAAGATGGGTGCAGGATGTGGCAGATGATCTCCAGATGGGTGTATCAGACGCAGGACATCTTGCTCAGGATAGGAAGGTTTTCCGGAGGGTTGTTATGGCAGCAAGGTTCCGCGAGGGACATGCTACTGAATGAATGAATGAATCATTAGTCATTATCAGCTATTATCCCCAGTAGTTAGCGTCCTTTGGATATTTTCTCCAGGTCATGCTGGTGTGTTGGGAAATGAGCAGGCAGATAGACTTGGTAGTGAATTGATGTATGACAAGTTACATATTGTGACGGCCCTTTGGGAGCAAGTGAACAGTGCGCAGATAGATCATTACGGTCTAAGGAGAATGGCGCTGCGAGGAGTTACCAGGGGATCTGGCCGACGCTCAACACTCAGGGGAAGGATGAAACGGATATACAATCGGACGGTTACTGGTACCATCGGAATTGGAACTCTTCGCTTGCTGCTGAAGATGGGGACTGAGCACTTATGGGAGTGTCCAGAGTGCTGTGATGTCGATTCTTAATTCAACATTCAACATTATCAGCGAGCAGGTCCTAGGCAGAATGTCCCTCTCGTCACAACTCAGAGAAGACTTGATCCTTTACTGATTCTCTTGCCTCAACAGTGCTCATGACTTTAATTGACATTAATTTGTTTCTGCTGTCACCTTGCTGTAGAACCATACTTTATGATATCATCAGAATATCAACTATGTCTGTGTTTTTACCCGGTGGAAACATTATTTTAAGCTTGATCGATTGCATATTTATTTGAGTTTTTTTGAAGTGTTTGTTCCTATATTAATTTAATTTTGGGACTACAAGTCTTTCATTGCCTGTGTTTTATTTTATCCCTACTTTTGTGTTTTTGTGTATGGAACAGGGACATGCATTAATAACACATCAGTAATGATGTTCAAGAAGGGAAGTTTTGAGGTGGCCTCAACAATTTATCCTGTGGCTATAAAGGTAAGAATCACAACAATTTAAAGGTAATAAAATAATCTTAACAATTTATTATGTTGCTATTAAAGTAAGAATTTCAACAATTTATCTTGATGCTATAAAGTTAGCAATATCACATCTTGACAGCTGGAGCAATATTAATCACATTACCGACCGAGGCTGATAATTCCTTTTTAAGAGACAATTTTGGGCCATCATGATAAACTCAGGGCAAGTCCATCTGAGAGAAAGTATCTTCTGCTATTCATTTTTTTTTAAACATCCATATATGTTTTTGGGGGAGAATAAAGAACTTTTGTGACAGACAGAAGAAATGAAATCTAGCATGAAACATGGAATATTAAACGCTGATGTCGTATCAGTACTCCTGCAAGGTCAGGAACATCAGACATTGACACAGACTGTATTTTGTTTTTGCCCCCAACAAAATAAAACAATCTTATCACCTTACTGAGGATCTGAACCTGGGTTTCCCAAATGAGGGCCTAGCATTCTTAACCACCTGGCCAGCCATTCCTCAGTGGTTTAATAAGCAACATAGATAATGACTAAACTAGTCTTTATCGCCTGTTTTTACCATTTTTCTTCAGAACAGATGGATTTGAACCTGAGGATTTATAGCTGTATGGCTAATACAATCACCATGGACTGTTTGCCCCTGAAAGAAACAAATCTATCACCTTACAGATCTGAACCTGCGATGCCTGAATGAGGGCCCAGCCCAACATTCTTAACTACTTGGCTAGGCACTCCTTATTGATCAAAATAATTACTAATAAACTAAAAAATATTGATTAATTTGTACCTGCTGAGATAAAGATTTAAATGGTAGGAGAAAATTGTCGGCATAAAGTTCTGGCTGTTTATCTACTTTAGACTTTGGTCTTGTTCCAGAACTTGAGTTGTGCATGCACATCCATTTTACAAATCTATATTATTTGTATGCAGACTGTTGGTTCTTCACCTCTCTAACTTCTGAGGAAATGTCCCTAATTGGTCGCCTCCAATAATCGTGACATGCTTGTTGGGGGAAGTGAATCTATTACCCCCCCCCCCCCCCCCCCCCTCTCTCTCTCTGAAAAATGGGGACCCTGAACTGACATGGGGAATCTTAGGGAATCAAGAGGTAAGGTTTGCTCACTGATGCTGGATAGGAAACACTGAGAACAACTGTCAACAGTAATAAAAGGCCCTACCTCTGGAACCGCAGGGTAGAAACAAATAGGAGACTTAAAAACACATAGTGTCAACAATTAGAGATGAAATAATAGTATTAGAAGCGTGTGGAGTCAGCTGTTGGAAATGGCCAAGTATAGAAATACTTGAAATATTTACATTGTCCAGGCTACTTTGGGAGATAAAAATATAGAAGATGAAAGTGTAGTTTGTCTGGATGAAGAAGAAGAATAAAAGTTCACTTTGCCAAGATTAAATGTATATTTTAAGAGAATTTATAAAAGTTCCTTAGACAGTTGTATTACTTTGAGAACGGTTGTTGAGTGTTGAGTTCAGAACCAACATCACAACACTCAGGACATACTCATAATTCCCATTCATCTTCAGCGGTCAGCACGAAGTTCTAGTTCCAAAGGGTCCAGTAGCGGTCTGATAGTATGCCTGTCTGTCCGTCTTGCCTTGTAGAGTGTCAGATTCCCTGGCCGGTCCCTAGAATGACTGTGTGTACAGTCAGTAATTATTTCTCAGGGCTGTACCTGCTTTGTGCTAAACATTTGGGTTTTTAAAGAACTCCTGTCATATTTATTTAGTTACAGTAAATTTAATCATCATCACATTCCCGTAACACCGTGTATTATTGGGTCATCAGTTGCTGTTGACTGTCTGACAATCTCTGCTCCACCTGTGTTGGTCAGATGCATACGTGGGCGGCAACAGAGCCCGTGTGGAATAATCTGATCTATCCGTCATCCAAAAACCCACCCACACTGGCATACAGATTTCTTTGTGGTGCTCCAATATAACTATGCTACATGGCTATGTGGTTAAACAAGGTTTCCAGGATTTGTAGCTGTTTGATTCTCATCCTTCAGATGTTAGTTAATCTTATAGAATGCAATACTAGAAGAAAAAAGGCGGGGGAGGAATTGGTCATCAGCGTGGTGCTTCTCAGGCAGTAAGTCAACAGTCCTCTCCAGGTGGCTATTTTCCCATTAGCCTGTATCCTCATTGATACAGTTAACAATCTGCATCACCACTGTTGTTTTTATTGATTTGTATTTCAGTATGACCCCAGGTTTGGAGATGCATTCTGGAACAGTGCTAAACATAACTGGACCCAGCACTTGCTGCAGATCATGACCAGCTGGGCACTTGTCTGTGATGTGTGGTACTTGCCGCCCATGACTCGGATGGTAGGTTTTTATCTGTTGGATCTCCCCGTGTGGGTTCCGGGGCCCTGTTATAAGGAAAACAAGAATAGACCTACTGCCTACCCAAAAGCATGTTGTAAGAGTCGACTAATTGGGAGCTTCTATCAAAGTCAGAGTGCATCTGCCTGAGAGGCAAGGAACCAGCAGTCTGCATACAAATGAGTTAGATCTGTAAAACGGATGCACATGCAACACTTAGGTTCTGGAATAGGACAGCAGTCCAGAAATCGGTGGAAAGCTCAGCACATGGGGTTGCTCCTTGTTAATCTCCAGAGGGCGGAGCCTGTGATCAGTGGAAAGCTTAGCACATGGGGCTGTTCCTTGTTATCTCCGGAGGGCGGAGCCTGTGATCAGTGGAAAGCTCAGCACGCACATGAATGGTTAAGCAGACATGTGCAGGACATGATGATTCCTTGTTGAGTCCAGTACCAGAGCATCATGTGACGGCTCTGCGTTTATGGAAGCCTCCTTGAATGGCAGGGAATGCCCAAAATCTGCCGCCCCTTCCCTTGAGGATCAGTCAGTCTACTCGCGGGTTCCCTGGTCGGGTTCTCCAGGGGCAACACCTGTAGATAAAGGGACAAAAGAAAATATCACACAGATGAGGCTACGTTATGACCACGAAACCAACAGGGAAAGTTGACCCGGTGAACAAATACCCGATGAAGTCAGATGTGTGAGCCGAAAGGCACAAATATTGCAGCAATGCTGTAAACATCACTTGGATGGATGAAAAGAAGGAGAAGCAGTGCAGATCTTTCAGTTTATGCATTTCATTTTATTTCTTTAAGCACACATTTAGGGGTTCCCCAGAGGTTGGAACTAGATTTTGACATTATTAGGTGGAATGAGGCATGTCTGTGTCCTCATATTACCTTACTTAAAAGTTTAGATGTAAATAATTATAAAGCACAGTGAATGGGTGTATATAACTTAATAGTTCAACAAAACAATGATGAGAGAAGTAACGTGTAATATTTTACTATTTATTACCACACCTGGTACAACTAGAATGTCCTTGCACCGGACTACACAAATCCAGAGAAGCAAAGGGAGACTAAAAAATACACATAAACGTGAATTAGAGACAGGGATGAGTAAGATGACAAGGACTTTCTTTGAGTGAACTGCATAAAATGGGCAAAGGATGGGAAGGCTTGCCTTAAGTTGGTTGGGTTTAGGCTCCATTGGGGAATGAAGGGAAGTAGTAGAATGAGACAACTAGTGGGGACAGTTTTTTCCTCCCAGGTGCACAACGGAGGTTTGCTGTAATGGATATGTGCTTCCACTACTACCTTTTGAAATGTGTAGTGGGACTCCTGTTACTGAAAGTCACAAGAAAGTTCTCTCGCGATGAGAGACAGCAACTTTTGAGATGTGTAGTGTGACTCCTGTTACTGAAAGTCACAAGAAAGTTCTTTCCTGATGAGAGACAGCAACTTTTGAGATGTGTAGTGAGATTCCTGTTACTGAAAGTCATAAGAAAGTTCTCTCGCGATGAGAGACAGCAACTTTTGAGATGTGTAGTGAGACTCCTGTTACTGAAAGTCACAAGAAAGTTCTCTGGCGATGAGAGACAGCAACTTTTGAGATGTTTAGTGTGATACCTGTTACTGAAAGTCACAAGAAAGTTCTCTCGCGATGAGAGACAGCAACTTTTGAGATGTGTAGTGTGACTCCTGTTACTGAAAGTCACAAGAAAGTTCTCTCGCGATGAGAGACAGCAATTTTTGAGATGTGTAGTGTGACTCCTGTTACTGAAAGTCACAAGAAAGTTCTCTCGCGATGAGAGACAGCAACTTTTGAGATGTGTAGTGTGACTCCTGTTACTGAAAGTCACAAGAAAGTTCTCTCGCGATGAGAGACAGCAACTTTTGAGATGTGTAGTGTGACTCCTGTTACTGAAAGTCACAAGAAAGTTCTCTTGCGATGAGAGACAGCAACTTTTGAGATGTGTAGTGTGACTCCTGTTACTGAAAGTCACAAGAAAGTTCTTTCCTGATGAGAGACAGCAACTTTTGAGATGTGTAGTGGGATTCCTGTTACTGAAAGTCACAAGAAAGTTCTCTCGCGATGAGAGACAGCAACTTTTGAGATGTGTAGTGAGATTCCTGTTAGTGAAAGTCACAAGAAAGTTCTCTCGCGATGAGAGACAGCAACTTTTGAGATGTGTAGTGTGACTCCTGTTACTGAAAGTCACAAGAAAGTTCTCTCGCGATGAGAGACAGCAACTTTTGAGATGTGTAGTGAGATTCCTGTTAGTGAAAGTCACAAGAAAGTTCTTTCCTGATGAGAGACAGCAACTTTTGAGATGTGTAGTGGGACTCCTGTTACTGAAAGTCACAAGAAAGTTCTCTCGCGATGAGAGACAGCAACTTTTGAGATGTGTAGTGAGATTCCTGTTAGTGAAAGTCACAAGAAAGTTCTCTCGCGATGAGAGACAGCAACTTTTGAGATGTGTAGTGTGACTCCTGTTACTGAAAGTCACAAGAAAGTTCTCTTGCGATGAGAGACAGCAACTTTTGAGATGTGTAGTGTGACTCCTGTTACTGAAAGTCACAAGAAAGTTCTCTTGCGATGAGAGACAGCAACTTTTGAGATGTGTAGTGAGATTCCTGTTAGTGAAAGTCACAAGAAAGTTCTTTCCTGATGAGAGACAGCAACTTTTGAGATGTGTAGTGAGATTCCTGTTAGTGAAAGTCACAAGAAAGTTCTTTCCTGATGAGAGACAGCAACTTTTGAGATGTGTAGTGTGACTCCTGTTACTGAAAGTCACAAGAAAGTTCTCTCGCGAAGAGAGACAGCAACTTTTGAGATGTGTAGTGTGACTCCTGTTACTGAAAGTCACAAGAAAGTTCTCTTGCGATGAGAGACAGCAACTTTTGAGATGTGTAGTGTGACTCCTGTTACTGAAAGTCAAAAGAAAGTTCTCTCGCGATGAGAGACAGCAACTTTTGAGATGTGTAGTGGGACTCCTGTTACTGAAAGTCACAAGAAAGTTCTCTCGCGATGAGAGACAGCAACTTTTGAGATGTGTAGTGGGACTCCTGTTACTGAAAGTCACAAGCGATGAAAGCAACTTTGAGATGTGAAGACTCCTGTTACTGAAAGTCACAAGAAACTTTTGCGAAGATGTGTAGTGGGACTCCTGTTACTGAAAGTCACAAGAAAGTTCTCTCGCGAAGAGAGACAGCAACTTTTGAGATGTGTAGTGGGACTCCTGTTACTGAAAGTCACAAGAAAGTTCTCTCGCGAAGAGAGACAGCAACTTTTGAGATGTGTAGTGGGATTCCTGTTACTGAAAGTCACAAGAAAGTTCTCTCGCGAAGAGAGACAGCAACTTTTGAGATGTGTAGTGGGACTCCTGTTACTGAAAGTCACAAGAAAGTTCTCTCGCGAAGAGAGACAGCAACTTTTGAGATGTGTAGTGTGACTCCTGTTACTGAAAGTCACAAGAAAGTTCTCTCGCGAAGAGAGACAGCAACTTTTGAGATGTGTAGTGTGACTCCTGTTACTGAAAGTCACAAGAAAGTTCTCTCGCGAAGAGAGACAGCAACTTTTGAGATGTGTAGTGAGATTCCTGTTACTGAAAGTCACAAGAAAGTTCTCTCGCGATGAGAGACAGCAACTTTTGAGATGTGTAGTGAGATTCCTGTTACTGAAAGTCACAAGAAAGTTCTCTCGCGAAGAGAGACAGCAACTTTTGAGATGTGTAGTGTGACTCCTGTTACTGAAAGTCACAAGAAAGTTCTCTCGCGATGAGAGACAGCAACTTTTGAGATGTGTAGTGAGATTCCTGTTACTGAAAGTCACAAGAAAGTTCTCTCGCGATGAGAGACAGCAACTTTTGAGATGTGTAGTGAGATTCCTGTTACTGAAAGTCACAAGAAAGTTCTCTCGCGATGAGAGACAGCAACTTTTGAGATGTGTAGTGAGATTCCTGTTACTGAAAGTCACAAGAAAGTTCTCTCGCGAAGAGAGACAGCAACTTTTGAGATGTGTAGTGTGACTCCTGTTACTGAAAGTCACAAGAAAGTTCTCTCGCGATGAGAGACAGCAACTTTTGAGATGTGTAGTGAGATTCCTGTTACTGAAAGTCACAAGAAAGTTCTCTCGCGATGAGAGACAGCAACTTTTGAGATGTGTAGTGAGATTCCTGTTACTGAAAGTCACAAGAAAGTTCTCTCGCGATGAGAGACAGCAACTTTTGAGATGTGTAGTGAGATTCCTGTTACTGAAAGTCACAAGAAAGTTCTCTCGCGAAGAGAGACAGCAACTTTTGAGATGTGTAGTGAGACTCCTGTTACTGAAAGTCACAAGAAAGTTCTCTCGCGAAGAGAGACAGCAACTTTTGAGATGTGTAGTGAGACTCCTGTTACTGAAAGTCACAAGAAAGTTCTCTCGCGAAGAGAGACAGCAACTTTTGAGATGTGTAGTGAGATTCCTGTTACTGAAAGTCACAAGAAAGTTCTCTCGCGAAGAGAGACAGCAACTTTTGAGATGTGTAGTGAGATTCCTGTTACTGAAAGTCACAAGAAAGTTCTCTCGCGATGAGAGACAGCAACTTTTGAGATGTGTAGTGAGACTCCTGTTACTGAAAGTCACAAGAAAGTTCTCTCGCGAAGAGAGACAGCAACTTTTGAGATGTGTAGTGAGATTCCTGTTACTGAAAGTCACAAGAAAGTTCTCTCGCGATGAGAGACAGCAACTTTTGAGATGTGTAGTGAGATTCCTGTTACTGAAAGTCACAAGAAAGTTCTCTCGCGAAGAGAGACAGCAACTTTTGAGATGTGTAGTGAGATTCCTGTTACTGAAAGTCACAAGAAAGTTCTCTCGCGAAGAGAGACAGCAACTTTTGAGATGTGTAGTGAGATTCCTGTTACTGAAAGTCACAAGAAAGTTCTCTCGCGATGAGAGACAGCAACTTTTGAGATGTGTAGTGAGATTCCTGTTACTGAAAGTCACAAGAAAGTTCTCTCGCGAAGAGAGACAGCAACTTTTGAGGTGTGTAGTGAGACTCCTGTTACTGAAAGTCACAAGAAAGTTCTCTCGCGAAGAGAGACAGCAACTTTTGAGATGTGTAGTGAGATTCCTGTTACTGAAAGTCACAAGAAAGTTCTCTCGCGAAGAGAGACAGCAACTTTTGAGATGTGTAGTGAGACTCCTGTTACTGAAAGTCACAAGAAAGTTCTCTCGCGAAGAGAGACAGCAACTTTTGAGATGTGTAGTGAGACTCCTGTTACTGAAAGTCACAAGAAAGTTCTCTCGCGAAGAGAGACAGCAACTTTTGAGATGTGTAGTGAGATTCCTGTTACTGAAAGTCACAAGAAAGTTCTCTTGCGATGAGAGACAGCAACTTTTGAGATGTGTAGTGAGATTCCTGTTACTGAAAGTCACAAGAAAATTCTCTCGCGATGAGAGACAGCAACTTTTGAGATGTGTAGTGAGATTCCTGTTACTGAAAGTCACAAGAAAGTTCTCTCGCGATGAGAGACAGCAACTTTTGAGATGTGCAGTGAGATTCCTGTTACTGAAAGTCACAAGAAAGTTCTCTCGCGAAGAGAGACAGCAACTTTTGAGATGTGTAGTGAGACTCCTGTTACTGAGAACTGAAAGTCACAAGAAAGTTCTCTCGCGAAGAGAGACAGCAACTTTTGAGATGTGTAGTGAGACTCCTGTTACTGAAAGTCACAAGAAAGTTCTCTCGCGAAGAGAGACAGCAACTTTTGAGATGTGTAGTGAGATTCCTGTTACTGAAAGTCACAAGAAAGTTCTCTCGCGAAGAGAGACAGCAACTTTTGAGATGTGTAGTGAGATTCCTGTTACTGAAAGTCACAAGAAAGTTCTCTCGCGATGAGAGACAGCAACTTTTGAGATGTGTAGTGAGATTCCTGTTACTGAAAGTCACAAGAAAGTTCTCTCGCGAAGAGAGACAGCAACTTTTGAGATGTGTAGTGAGATTCCTGTTACTGAAAGTCACAAGAAAGTTCTCTCGCGATGAGAGACAGCAACTTTTGAAATGTGTAGTGAGACTCCTGTTACTGAAAGTCACAAGAAAGTTCTCTCGCGAAGAGAGACAGCAACTTTTGAGATGTGTAGTGAGACTCCTGTTTCTGAAAGTCACAAGAAAGTTCTCTCGCGAAGAGAGACAGCAACTTTTGAGATGTGTAGTGAGATTCCTGTTACTGAAAGTCACAAGATAGTTCTCTCGCGATGAGAGACAGCAACTTTTGAGATGTGTAGTGAGATTCCTGTTACTGAAAGTCACAAGAAAGTTCTCTCGCGAAGAGAGACAGCAACTTTTGAGATGTGTAGTGAGATTCCTGTTACTGAAAGTCACAAGAAAGTTCTCTCGCGATGAGAGACAGCAACTTTTGAGATGTGTAGTGAGATTCCTGTTACTGAAAGTCACAAGAAAGTTCTCTCGCGAAGAGAGAGACAGCAACTTTTGAGGTGTGTAGTGAGACTCCTGTTACTGAAAGTCACAAGAAAGTTCTCTCGCGAAGAGAGACAGCAACTTTTGAGATGTGTAGTGAGACTCCTGTTACTGAAAGTCACAAGAAAGTTCTCTCGCGAAGAGAGACAGCAACTTTTGAGATGTGTAGTGAGATTCCTGTTACTGAAAGTCACAAGAAAGTTCTCTCGCGAAGAGAGACAGCAACTTTTGAGATGTGTAGTGAGATTCCTGTTACTGAAAGTCACAAGAAAGTTCTCTTGCGATGAGAGACAGCAACTTTTGAGATGTGTAGTGAGACTCCTGTTACTGAAAGTCACAAGAAAGTTCTCTCGCGAAGAGAGACAGCAACTTTTGAGATGTGTAGTGAGACTCCTGTTACTGAAAGTCACAAGAAAGTTCTCTCGCGAAGAGAGACAGCAACTTTTGAGATGTGTAGTGAGATTCCTGTTACTGAAAGTCACAAGAAAGTTCTCTCGCGATGAGAGACAGCAACTTTTGAGATGTGTAGTGGGACTCCTGTTACTGAAAGTCACAAGAAAGTTCTCTCGCGAAGAGAGACAGCAACTTTTGAGATGTATAGTGGGACTCCTGTTACTGAAAGTCACAAGAAAGTTCTCTTGCGAAGAGAGACAGCAATATAACATTGTAAAAGACCCTTTTCCACACCTTCAGGCTCACAGTGCTAGACCTCACTGTTATAGACCAACTCGATGGCTGATGTGGTCATCATCTTGCTGGCCGCTTTTACTTGCCATTACTTCACCTGGTGCCCACTCAAAGCTGGGTCGACCTGTGAGCCAAGGTAATTTTAAAAAAATAAGTCAGGTTCTGTTCGGACTCAAACCCACGATCTTTGGATCTGCAGAAGAGCGTCTTTTCGCTACACCAAGACAAGTCCCTTAATAATATTGCAATGTGGTAATAAAATTTGAATATTTTAACTATACACACACATTTCAGCTATGTATAACTTATTTATGTTGATATGTGGTTGTGATGTTATGAGGATGATGTATTGTGCTATGTTGTGTATTTACACATTTGTCATTGATCTAGGAAGGGGAAGATGCTGTGTCTTTTGCAAACAGGGTCAAGTCCGAAATAGCAAGGCAGGGTGGACTGGTGGACTTAGATTGGTAAGACAATCACAAGTGGTTATTTTTTTCTTATCCATAGTAAGAATCATTAGATTGGTAAGACAATCACAGGTGGTTATTTTTTTCTTATCTTCTTCTTCTTCTTCTTCGCGTTCACCAGCTGTATACTCTGGAGGAAAGTTCTGGTTGCTCGTCCACTACTGAACTGCAGTCCTGTTCCAGAACTTGTGCATCAGTTTTACAGATCTCATTCTTTTGAATACAGACGGTTGGTTCCTTGCCTCTCCGGCAGATGCACTCTGACTTCACAGGAAGCTCCCCAATTAGTCGACTCTTACGACATGCTTTTTGGCAGGCAGTGGGTCTATTCTTGTTTTCCCCACACGGGGGTTTTTCTTATCCATAGTAAGAATCATTAGATTGGTAAGACAATCACAAGTGGTTATTTTTTTCTTATCCATAGTAAAAATCAGTATTATAAAGTTTAGTTTATTATTATTCTCATTGAATAAGGAAGGTGGGAAATGAGCAAAGTATTACTGAATATCACAGTCCAGCTGATCTTGTGTTGACAAAAGCCCTTTACCACTGTTTAACTGAGTGAAGAAAAAATATGAAGCAGAGAATGGGCACGGAGACCTACATGTCCATAGACTAAAGATGGGCAGCATTAGACTTGGCACAGATCAGATGGACCAAAAGCCTATCTTTCAAAATGCAAGCTATCAAATCTGACCAGTGTGCCCACCAGTATGGTCCGTGTAAGATAAATGAAATAGCCATTCAAAATAAAAAATTATAAGAGAAATTGGGCCTAGTCAAGTGTTAACAGTAACCTAGTCAAGTGTTAACGGTAACACTAAAAACAGTATGCCATGATCTCCTTTAAACATAATTTGTTTACATAGAACGCTGATAAATTTGTTTAAGAATTATTTATGTATATTAAAAATTCTCTTGAAATATATAAAGATATATATAATTATCAGTAAACATGAATAGAATGAAGCATTAAATGGAATAATTTCCCAGAGCTAAAAAAAAAAAAGGTGGGTGAATTAAGTCATGATTCCCTGACCTCTATCATTGATGCTACAGAAAATTTGACATCACAATGGCTTTAAAAAAAAAAAAAAACTGTTTTGTTCACAGGGCACCCTCGCCCGCTTTTTTCTCCATAAATGCTATTGTTGGTAAATATAATCATATCCTAACCTTCTTAATGCTACCCATGTGCTGACACTGCCAGTAGCATTAACTATGCGTCTCTTAATCACTCTAGAAAAGTAGGTTAAGTAACATTTACAGGGAAGTGGGCCGAATCAGAGGTGCAGGTTTTGTTGCGTTTCGGGGCAACAAGGTTAAGAATAGAATGAAGGGAACAGTGCCAATTGATAAGCTTAAACCGATAAAGGGAATCAAAGACGTAGAAGATAAGGAAACTGCAGAATATTTTAAATGAAATAATCACTTCATTTAGTAATGTTTTATGGTAGTGTTATTGTTCATTCATTTTCTTTAATCTCCTTTCCTTTCCCCATAAAATGTGTTGAGAAATGAAAAAAACTTCTTGTTTAATTAAGGGGGCATTTTGGTCATCATATACCAAAATAATACTATATAGAATGCCAGTGGAGCAAGCAAGAAGGGTCGCATCTCAGTTGCAGTTATTCCATCACAGGTTGGAATCATGAACTGCCATATTCAGATACTGCAAAACCTGTTAATATTGTCGTTTGTTCCATGATGTTCATCGACCACTATTGTGACTGAAGATCCTGATAGACATATATAATCTAATTTGGTGAAGTTATTAACACTGAAGATCCTGATAGACATATATCATCTAATTTGGTGAAGTTATTAACACTGAAGATCATGATAGACATATATCATCTAATTTGGTGAAGTTATTAACACTGAAGATCCTGAAAGACATATGTAATCTAATTTGGTGAAGTTATTAACACTGAAGATCCTGATAGACATAAATAACCATATTTATCTAATCATATTTGATGAAGTTGTTAGCACTGATGATCCTGATAGACACATATAATCAAATTTGATGAAATCCTTGGCTTACTGAAACCTTTTCTGTGATTTCCCTTTTCTCAGGGACGGTGGGTTGAAACGTTCTACGGTCAAGGAATCCATGAAGGAAGTACCACAAGAACAGTACAGCAAAATATTGAAAGTTGACTGAACACAAAGAAAACCACATGTTGATTTATGATATATTTTCTATTTTATGTAATGTTTATGAATGTAGTTTCATTTCTTGCAGTTTGTCCATAATGAATTATTTTAAACAACACAATATTCAACATGACCAGATCATCTATGTGCAAGGACATTGTAATTAATGGCTTCTGGTTATTTTTCCAATTTCATTTGTCACTTGGCTGTATTTTTAAGAGTGGGTTTTGTGTATATTTTCCTTGCTTTTTTTTTTTAAATCTGAAACATTCTTGATGTATTGTGGCTGTTCTAATGTTTTAATTTAATTTATTGGATAAGGTAAAGAAGAAAAACTATTTATGTGCAGAAATTGTTATTGTAAATGTATCTCCATAAATTATACAGTAATGGTTGATATTGTCACTGCCTTTGTATACCTGCATCCCTGTGTGGGTTTCCGGCTCCACTCACCCCTCCCCCACCTCCGACCCCCTAACAAGCATGTCATAGGAGGCAACTAATTAGGGGCTTTTTCTCCAGTCGGATTGTATCTGCCTGAGAGACAAGGGACAAACCATCTACATACAACTAAGCCAGATCTGTAAAGCAGATGTGCCGCAAAGCTCTAGATCAAGATCAGAAGTAGACAAACAACAAGAACTGTCTACTAGTTAACAGACAGTGAACCCTAAGAAAAATAAGAAGATATATAGAAGCCATACACATATTTCAACAGGTTTTGTTTATATTATTTTTTTTGTTCCTCAGTTTCATGTGTCATGAGTAGATATGGATCCCTGATGATCAGGGATGTTTGCCCAACTTTGCTTTGTGTTCGTAAGGTTTAATTCTTTTGGATTCCATCCAATGTAATGGGCTTTCTAGGTTGTGTGTACTGATTCTGCTAAATGACTTTAGTTATGGCAGTGCGCTTATGGACTGCTGTATACAATTTCTAACTTGGTTATGTCACTCCCAAGAAATCTAGAGGACATGTGGCAGCAATAGAAACTAATGTTGGGGGGGGGGGGGGGGGGGGGGGAAGGGGGTTGCATTCCAGACGTGTGAGCTTCAGGCAGACATGGACACTTATATGTAGCTGCACCCACTCGCATACGTAATCAGCCACATACTCAGACACCTTTAGATTTTTTCCAGCGTTACAGGCCTGAAATGTTCATAAACAGTAATTCCTTGTGAATTCTTTTCAGATACTTGGTTTTGTTTTTATCTATCTCCCTCTGTTTTTATTTACTGTCATCCTACCTTCATGCCCCTTGTCTCTTTTCTTTCTTCTATGTTTGTTCTTTCATATTTTTGTTGCTATTGTCCTCACTTGTACTTTATTCCATTTCTTCCTTTTTGTGTGTATGTTGATTGTGAAATCTTATACTGCTTTTAAAATGATGAATGAAGAAAGGGACCATTGTAGCGTAGCAGTTGTGAAGCTAGTAGTTTCACATAAAAAGAGTTCTGACACTTCCTCATCATTTCCAACATCTTACCACCACTGAGGGCATCCTTGGTCCAATACACAAAAAAGGCAGTGTCATGGCGGAAGTCACATACCTCAACTTTATCAATGCTGAGAATGGAATGAATATTAGATTTACTTGGTATACACAACTTTTTATTGGTCATAATTTGTTTCTGTGTTCATGTTTATGCTTTTTTATATTTGTTATTGTTGGTATCTTTGTGAGACATGAGAAGGAATGGACTTGAGAACTTGGTAGCGAATGGCAAAATTAGTGGAAAGAGATCAGTAAGCTCACTATAGAATCATTGTTAAAAGAATGGGAAAAAAAATCATACAGCATTTACATCCCTATAGGAGCAAAACACCAGTTTTCCTTTACTTTGTCAGTGCTTTTTTTTTAGTTTAGGTTTCTAGTTATCTTCTTCATATTTCCTCATTTTGGTGCAAAGTCAGGTATTTTGTTTTATGGTTGAATGTACATTGACACAGTGTCTGTGGTGATTGTTAATTAGGGACAGCAGACGTGACAGAGAAACTACAAGTTGTAAATAAACTATATCTGTTTTTTTTTAAACAGATCATCCACAGGTTTTGTGGGTGCTCTGGTTGTTCTAATAAAAACAAAATAAGACAGCAACGGCTATCATAAGTGGTTTTATATTATTAATTAATATGCAGTACCAGGCTAAATGTTTTTCTTTATTATAACTGGGCAAAATTTGCCTAGAAAAACCACAATAGTGAAAGAATGCTGGGGTTGGTTCTGTAACGTCCTTTAAAGAATACATCTCTAACTTTGTATGACCTTGTTGAGAGATAACAGATCATGGTCTGGAGAGAATAAGGCAGTAGTGAGTGACCAGGGAATCTGGCCAACGCCCACACTCAACACACTCAGACTAAAGGCAAGACAGAGATAACAGATCATGGTTGAGAGAATAAGGCAGTAGGGAGAGACCAGGGAATCTGGCCAATGCCCACACTCAACACTCGGGCAGAATGCAAGACAGAGATAACAGATCATGGTTGAGAGAATAAGGCAGTAGGGAGTGACCAGGGAATCTGGCCAATGCCCACACTCAACACTCGGGCAGAATGCAAGACAGAGATAACAGATCATGGTTGAGAGAATAAGGCAGTAGGGAGTGACCAAGGAATCTGGCCAGCGCCCACACTCAACACTCGGGCAGAATGCAAGACAGAGAACAGATCATGGTTGAGAGAATAAGGCAGTAGGGAGTGACCAAGGAATCTGGCCAATGCCCACACTCAACACTCGGGCAGAATGCAAGACAGAGAACAGATCATGGTTGAGAGAATAAGGCAGTAGGGAGTGACCAAGGAATCTGGCCAATGCCCACACTCAACACTCGGGCAGAATGCAAGACAGAGATAACAGATCATGGTTGAGAGAATAAGGCAGTAGGGAGTGACCAAGGAATCTGGCCAATGCCCACACTCAACACTCGGGCAGAATGCAAGACAGAGATAACAGATCATGGTTGAGAGAATAAGTCAGTAGGGAGTGACCAAGGAATCTATCCAATGCCCACACTCAACACTCGGGCAGAATGCAAGACAGAGATAACAGATCATGGTTGAGAGAATAAGGCAGTAGGGAGTGACCAAGGAATCTGGCCAGCGCCCACACTCAACACTCGGGCAGAATGCAAGACAGAGAACAGATCATGGTTGAGAGAATAAGGCAGTAGGGAGTGACCAGGAAAACTGGCCAACGCCCACACTCAACACTCGGGCAGAATGCAAGACAGAGATAACAGATCATGGTTGAGAGAATAAGGCAGTAGGGAGTGACCAAGGAATCTGGCCAATGCCCACACTCAACACTCGGGCAGAATGCAAGACAGAGAACAGATCATGGTTGAGAGAATAAGGCAGTAGGTAGTGACCAAGGAATCTGGCCAGCACCCACACTCAACACTCGGGCAGAATGCAAGACAGAGATAACAGATCATGGTTGAGAGAATAAGGCAGTAGGGAGTGACCAGGGAATCTGGCCAATGCCCACACTCAACACTCGGGCAGAATGCAAGACAGAGATAACAGATCATGGTTGAGAGAATAAGGCAGTAGGGAGTGACCAGGGAATCTGGCCAATGCCCACACTCAACACTCGGGCAGAATGCAAGACAGAGATAACAGATCATGGTTGAGAGAATAAGGCAGTAGGGAGTGACCAGGGAATCTGGCCAGCGCCCACACTCAACACTCGGGCAGAATGCAAGACAGAGAACAGATCATGGTTGAGAGAATAAGGCAGTAGGGAGTGACCAGGGAATCTGGCCAACGCCCACACTCAACACTCAACAAACTCAACACTCGGGCAGAATGCAAGACAGATAAAGAATCAGACTGCTACAGGTGCCATCAAAATTGGAACTCTGAGTTAGCTGGTGTCGATGGAGACGGAGCACTTATAGAAATGTCCTGAGTGCTATGATGTTGGTCCTTAGCTCATCTAAGCTCAGCTGAGAGATGACACACCACATATGAAATCAGGATATGCTGTCAGGATAAGAAATATTTCCTTATATCTAATTGGTCATTGTGTTATTATATGGATGAAACCAGCTCATTTGTCCAGAATGTTTTCCCCCAGAGGTATCTCTGGTACTCATTTTACAAGGCTGTGTGACCCAAGAGCCTTGCATGGGCAGACAATTGCTCACACTAGGGATTGACCCAAGTATGGCAGTACACCATCTTCTGTGCTTGCTACCGTGGCTTTATCATTTCTTTTGCCTCAGTGACAGATTTAGATCTCCAGCAATGAGCTACCATGTTTTCCAAAGTATAATATGCACTTATTTTCAAAAAATATAGGGTCTAAAAAACAGTGTGTCTTATATAATGATAATTCCTTTGAAGTCGGAGTGCTTCTGCCTGAGAGGCAAGGAACCAACAGTCTGCATTCAAGTGAAACATCTGTAAAACTGATGCACAAGCAACACTTAGGTTCTGGAGCAGGACTGCAGTTCATAAGTGGACGAACAACCAGAACTTTCCGCCAGAGTGTGAACGCGAAGAAGAAGAAGAAGAATATAATGATAGATTTTTACCAAATTATTTGTTAGAAAATATCCCTACAGGATCTCAGTTGGGGATGCCGGTTTAGAAGCGATAGTCTTCTGTGAAAAATTTGACACCAGCAGGTAGTATGAAGAAAGTAACTATGGGAGTAGTTTGTTTTTGGGTCAAAAGATCCTAGATAATCTAAAGACTGAGATCGTTGTCAATTCAAGAAGTGTCGATTTTCAGATAGAACTGAAGATGAGGCAATTTATGAAGATGGTGATTTGTCATTCAACATGGACAAACTAAAAAAAAAAAAAAAAACATATGGATGAGTTTTGACAGTGAGGAGCTTATTTTAAATTCTTTGATGAATAAAATGCGAGTTCAATAACTATTTAATCATATTTTTTTCCTTTAAAATTTCCATTCCCAGTATCAAGGTGCTTGTTATACCTGGGATTGTCTTATACTTGGGGAAACATAGTAGTTTCCTTCCCACAGATTGTCTT